AACTTGGAATGGGAAGTCATTCTAGCGAGGGTTCGGGTTTTGGGGTGGGCTGGGTCGAACTTTTCGACTGAGCTCCTCCCGCTACCTTCTCCCCTCCCCCCCCCCTCTTCAAACGATTTTAGAAAGTGATACCCCGGCGGTGAGCCATTGCAATGCATTTCGATCTTATACAACCTCTCAATCCGTGGTCCTGCCGCCGCCTGCGAAACGAATTTGTGGCAATCTCGCAGAGTCCGTTGTCTGCTGCACTAACTGTCTTGCCTTAGATGCGCCAGCTGCGCACCAAATGTGTCATTGTCGTTCCGTGTCTGTCTACATTCTGCAGCGCTCGGTCTGTGCCTGCCTGCAGGGCACGGCTGTGCTCGGTCCGTGCCTGTGCGCGGGACCGACAATGCTCGGTCCTTCGGCTCGGCTCCGTAGCCAAACCGGGGTGCAGATCACGATATGTATCTGTGATGCCATTCTTTTTAGCAGGAACAACTTAAGCTGTACAACAAACAAATATCTGTGCGGTTCATACGAGTGACAGTGTGGTCCAATAATTTCATTTAGCGAGAACCTAGCCTCAACATAGCCATAAGCGAGAACCTAGCCTTTCCTTGAGTAGATTAGCGGCCGGAGTTTGCGACTCGCTGCGCGCACGAATTGCAGCTGCGGCAGCGGCCGTCATGTCTGGCGCAGCTGCGGCAGCCGCCGTCGTCCAGGCGCTGTACGGTTTTTTCTAAGGATCCGCCATGGAGCGCGTCACTGGTAATAGCGTGAAAAAGCCCTGCCAATCTAGGAAACGTGTTGTTTGTGAATACCCGAACTTTAACTTCAGAGATCAACGGAGGACGTTGGAGCGACGCATGTCAAGGATTTATCCGCGGCTTTTTGCTGCTGACGGGAACAGCCGAGCCTCGCTAGTGTCGGGGCGTTATATAAAACGCTTTTAAATGTCATTGTATTGCATATGATATCAGGTGAAGGTGGTAGTGCTCATAAATGTTTGTCGCCGCCGATACCACTTACACATGGGTTTCGCACTACTTATTTGAGATTATGTAAGGGAGTCCGACGTCTGTACCGGTAATACCAATGAACGTAAAGATGGTGAAGATCGCTACTGCTTCAAGCTGATTACATGATGACGTCACGCAACCAAACATGATTTTGTTTTAGGTGCTTCTAAAACCATATGATTGGCAAATGTAGGGCTACAGGAGTGCAGTTTTTTAAATGCGTAAATGTGAGGGAGAGGGTGGGACGCAGGAGGAAGAAATGTCTGAGCCTGCCTCGAAAATGCGCTTAATACAGTCTTCTCCAAAGATGTGACGCACTTTCTTTTCAGTGTTGAGGGCTGGAATAAAGTTTCTCAAAACAAGCGGGGGCTAAACCATAATCAATGGTGTTCACCAAAAATAATGGCAAATGGTAAATAACAATAGGAAAAAACATCCCTGTTTTGGAGGTACGACCCCGAGAACTGAGTAGGAAACTACATGCATTCACGCTGGTTATGTTAAATATGCCTGTACCTGATAATTTCATTGGTTAAGTTTCAGCCATCATTCAATGTTTGGTGACCAGCAAATGATAAATCGAATGCAAATTGACACTTGAAGCCAATGGTTTGATAGTTATCTTGCATTGTATTTTACTTGTCTACGTGTGGTTTATCACGTTTATGGTTATACTGCAATAGTTTCTGGCTCCAGGTGACAACTGAGGCGGTTCCAGATCTTGCTGTTGGCAAAAAAGCCCCCTTTCATTCCTGTATGTAGTAAGTGAACGTCTGCCGTGTCTTCGGTATCGAGTGGATAGGATTTGCTGACATTTAATCTTCACGGACGACAAACATGGCAGCAAATGAGTTTCATCCCGAACATTCGAACTCGAGTGGGAGAGGGTGTTGATATCATACGTGTCGTCAATATATTTTTGGTATATGAGCTGACTGGGTACGAGTGCATTGATGGTTTGTGCATTTATAAGAGTTCGGTACAATTGGCAGAAAACCAGCATTAAGAGCCAATGGTAATGATGACACCAACTGCAAACATCTAAGAATTGTGAAGAATCATCCTAGTCTCCTGCCGAGGCCGATTTGAAACGATATACCAGTTCGTAGTACTTCATTGGCTAGAACACCTGCCTTTTCATTCACCCACCCAACGCAGAGTGGGTCCAAGTGGCTTCAAGCTATAAGCCAACCATGAGCAGAAAACAGCCTGTAATATGACGGCGATCGTATGATGTTTCTATGACGTCATCAATGCCAAGGTGGGTGGAATGGTCCCCCAATAAACCTTTTCCCATTTCGGCAGGCGCGTAAATACGCCTTACTTACCTGTGTGATTGTATGCCATTTGTATGGACGTGTATGATCGGTGCATGTCAGCACGTGTCCCATGTGTTTACAATTTATTTGCATCCATCTTTTTTCGTGTGCGCTGGGCTTTGCACACTGTCGCTAATAGCAGCATTTCTTGGATTCATCGTTCCAACCTATTACAAATTTTATAGCTTCATATTTTATCGTATCGCACTTAGCGTACCGCATATTATCGTCACGTACGCTAGATGCAAGATAATATTTTATAGTACATTTCGTAGCACCGCCTCTTATCTTTTGCTGTAATGTGTTGTAATAGGTGAGTGGGCCATGTAACGATCCAAAGCTAGCAAACATTGTAACGAGCCGAAACCTGAAAAGCCACCTCGAGTATGGTTGTCGATTTAACAAATACAGCATGTCGACAGGTGGTAAGCGGATTGGGAAACTGTCTTTAAAGCGTGGTTGCTATGGTTGTTCTGCACCCGGGAGGAGCGCTGCGTGGCGGTGGGGTCGCAATTGGAATTGGCGGAAGCGAAGTGAGCGCACTGGTCGCGAGAGCAGTGTAAGAAATGGATGAAATGGATGAAAAATCTATGTAAAAAAAAAAACAATGTAAGAAATGGATGAAAAATCTTGGAAAGCTGGATAGTCTTATTTACCGAGTGACGCAGATGAGTTAAATAGGCAGGATCGTGCAGCAGACTGAGAAACAGTTGTAGACGTATATCTAGCATAGCAACAATAACATTCAATTATTCCCAAAATATGGCATGTGGATTAACAGCGGACAATAGCCTTCGTCTCTGCCCCTCCCCCCTCCCCCGGTCAGCGGGTTTGCTTCACAGAAAACGTTTCTGGAGTATACCCTGAACCTGCCCCCTCCCCCCCCCCCCCCCTCCTTAGAACGTTCCTGCGTCTATGATTTTCCCAGTAACAGTTAACTCCTCAAAACGAGACACTTGACTGCGCCGCCACCTGCATCACAAAGCGCACCAGACGAACAGTAGGAGACAGCTTCTTCAAAGTACTGTTGGATGAAAAGGCTGACCGAACAGGCCGCGAACAGATGGCAATCGCCTGTTGGTACGCGTCATAGCAGGATGGAGTGTGCAGCTCTAAAAAAAAGCTGCAGACCTCGGACTGGCGAACGGCACAGAGAAGATGACCGGCTGCGGGTTCGACGGAGCTCCAGCAATGGCTAGTGAGAATGTGGGAGCAGCAGCTGTGCTCGGACGCGACAACGACCTCTGCGAGTTTTTCCACTGTGCGATGTGAGCACTTAATTTGTGCGTTAGCAGCAGCTGCAAGCAGAAATTTATAAGACGGTCTCTTGACACCGTAATAGACATAGCTATCTTTTGCATTCACGGAAAGCACTGCAAAGCGCTGAAGAAGGCCATCAAGAAGGTGTCGCCCAAAGAAAGCCCAAAGAGGCTTATCACTTTACGCATTACGCGCTGTCTGAAGCGTCACAAGGCAGGGACGTGCATCTGCCAGCTGCTGACGGCAGCGGTCCCCTCCCTGACGAAGGTAAGAGTGCGTTCTTCTTCAGAAGCACGGCAGAACGCCCCGAGACTGATGCGCACAATCGCCTGTGCAGAATTTCTGGTGGCACTGTAGGCGCTTGAGGCCGGAACTTTTGTGGTGCAACCAATCGCCCGTATACTCCAGGCCAAGGACTTGAACGTTTTTGAGGCTGAAGAACACATTGGTGTTTGCATCAGGCTCACTCAGGGACGGAGAGAGAAGGCAGATGAGAAGTTTATGTTCGTGATGGGCATAGCAGGCGAAGCAGCTCGAGTCCTTGGGATCGATATTGCTTCTCCGCCGCTTTACGCCGAGGTCGGTGTACCGGTCCAACGTAGGCGATTGCCGGGATCCTGCAGAGTACTTCTGGGGGGGGGGGAGGGGGAGGAAACTGCTTCATCCTCATTCTAGACATCGTCCTCATCCAGCTCCTTGCCCGCTTCAGCAGCTGCAGCAGCAGTCGCTCAAACTCTGTGCCTTGCTTCCGGCAAGTATCAAGAACTGGACGGCAAGGAAGCCGACCGTGGCATAGTATGCGTGGTTTCTGGACCCCGAACTAGCCGTTAAGACCAAACACATCTGGGTGGTAATGTGGAAAGGAAAGAAGGAGCTGCTACGATATGTGATGCAGACACGAGACAAGTGCCCGGACTTCCTGCTTTGCAATATCTACGACCTCATCCGGGTGTTTGCCGCACTGCCGGTGTGGACAGCCGAGCCGGGGCGGCTGTTCGGGCGCGTTGACCCCGTGGCGACGTCAATCAGGTCCACGATGATCACAGAGCGGCTGGAGGACTTCTGCCTTCTGTGAACCTATCTGCAGTCGCTCGGTAAAGAGGCGACCGCCATTCTCCAGTTCTGCTCCCGGGCTCAAAAACGGGATCTCGGTCTCGGACAAGTGCACCGCAGAGCATTTGCTCCCGAAGTCTGCAATGTACTTATGATCTCCCTGTATATTCAAAATACCAGAGCAAAGCAAATCAGCACACTAGCTGTAACAAACGGATCTTCGTCTTTGAAAGTTGGATTGGAAGATAGCGAGGTTGAAATCGACCATGCGACTGAAACTGTCGAGACGGAAAAACTTTCAGATTCGGGAACCACATTGTGCTGCCATATTCATACTTGCGACATTCTAACGCTGTTGATCGCGAGGCGCAGCACGGCCAGCGTGGTTAGCTTAGTTGCGTACGGGACGATAGTTCTAGCGCCCTCCGTAGAACGAATGCTTGCCGTTGAGCGTGTATCAGTCGCGGGGCGGCAGCGTTTAGTGTATTGAGTTGCATTTAAGTGGTGGCTGGGCATTGATCGTGTAGCCATCGCGATCGAGTGGTGGAAGAAAGGTAGGTTTAAGTTGTAAACGGTATCTTATCTTTCATTATGAATCAAACCCTGTATTTAATGGAGGTGTGACTTGGACTTGATAGATGGTGCATTCTAAATGAATGTTGAAAAGTAAAGAGCAAGTGCTCTGTTGGTGATTGAAAGGACTGGTCGTTTGGAATGTGCAAAGATGAATAGTGTGTCCTCACCAACATAATCAGCATCAGAATATCCAGTAAGAATTGTAATGTAGACAAATATTTGTCTGTCTTTCTTTGCTGTCGAAGGTCGCCAACTGCCGAGTTATGCGAGCCACAGTACACAAAAGAGGGAAATAAGATATTGTACTGAATGTAAATAATATGGTGTTCAGAGGGTGATATTTATTGATTGCAGTTTTAAACTTTCAGCATGGTCATGGGTTTTTAACTTTAACAAGCTCCTGCTGCACCATAACTTGGTGCACATATGATTCTTGTCTGGTGTAAGGGATATCTAGTCAAGCACATATCCAAAATAGGAGCTTTGACTTTTGTTTCTCATTGAAGCACCTCCACCACCATGATATATAAGGAAACATGATTTGCAAGCTAAATGTGACGTCTGGTATTAAGGAGCAGCCAGATACTCATACTTTTAGCAGAGACAGGATTTTCCTCAAAGTGCTTGATTTTGGTAATGTGTTCTAAGGACTAATTTCCTGCTGATCCAGTGCGAGAGTGAACTGATATCGTGTAGTTGCGCAGTGATGTGTTGTGCTTAATAGAGGCTGAATGAATCACTGAAAGCAAGATGGTAGCAGCCATTGAGTCATGTCTCCTTGATTATCTATATTAATAATGATGTGAAGCATCTCAGCCTTGGGGGTCAAGCAGAAGTGTGCAGTTGACTTGTGATCCATATTGACAGAGGTGGTATCTTCTCTCTGCTGACAGGGGCAGCTCTAGGATCTGACTTAGCCCCAGCTTGAGAGGATGCCTAAAGTGAAGCGGAGCAGGAAGCCACCACCAGAGGGATGGGAGCTGATAGAGCCAACGCTGGATGAGCTCGATCAGAAGATGAGGGAGGGTGAGTAATAGTCTCAGAATGGCTGTGGTAGTGTACATTGTGGTCATGGGGTGATGGGAAATACTTGATGTGATAGGTCTGGAGTGGACAGCGCATTTACTTCTGCCATGTGCTCTGCCACTTGGACTCATGGTGACTTGAGCGACCTTTATGAATAACAGCCTTTTGGGCCCACTATCATCTGATCCCTGTGGTGGCAAATGCACATGACCTGCAAAGGAAGGGGTGCTTGCTGGCCATCCCTCAGTGCTTTACAGGTCCTGTGATGTTGAGAGATATGTAGCTGAGGTATCTGGCAGATGTGCACAAGCATGACTTCACATTGGTGGTGGCCAAATCCTCAATGCAGTAAAGGCATCAATGGTTTTTAGCACATGCTCAGTTGGGTGCAACTTGACCTCTTCCGAAAGGTTTTTCCGAGATGGTTTCTGAATGGCATGTCGTAGCTACACTAAATTTTGCATAGATATAGACAGTTGAACAGTGGATCATTTGGTGTGAAAATTTAGGTGCGTCTTGTTAGATTGCTGAAATACAGTAGGTCAAAGTTAGGCCATGGATTCCAGGAAGTCAATCTGTAGGAAATCGCTCAATCTGATGAAACAAAAAGGTATTAGATGAAGCCATACATCTCTGAGATACCTTCTTAGGCAACACAAGCATTGCATGAGCAGATTCCATTGCCCCAAAGTCAGGTATGAGGGTCAGATAAAGGTCAAAACCAACCCATTTTATTTCTGTATGGGGATAGTTGCTGGTGCTCATTTCAAACTTATTGATGACAGGAACCACATGTTACATCTTGCATGTTTTTTGAAGGTCAGAATAGGTCACCAACCCAAAATCTTACAGGTCAAGCCTTTTTTAGGAGCATGCTGCCTTGTACAATCCTTGTTGCATGTTCAAATGAAGAACTCAAAGCAGTCTCATATGATTTTGATCACCATGATCTTCAAAAGCTCAAAAAGGTCACTGACCTTGAATGAGCACGTGAGCTTTTGCTCAGAACGGGTGTCTAGGTTCTGGGTGCACTTTGGACACCAACCTGAAGTTTGACATTGTTTGACCTTATTTGATCCGCATGTCATAACCTAGGAACCTCAGACCTTGACCCAAGTGAGTTGACATACAGGCCAATGCACCTTGTGAATTTGGTGTCTCTAGCTCCCGTCGTTCCTGAGATCTCAGGGGGTCAATTTGCCCTCCCCCCCCCCCCCCCCCACCGGAGCGAAGGGTATCTAGCCGGCCACCCGGACGCGCGTTAAGAAGCGTTTTGGCCAGGTGGTAATTGCCCTCGGCTCCCACGTCGACGCCAGAGTTCAAACCTCAGTTGCGTCGTGACAGCTGGGAGCTGGTGTGACCTGTGCAGTCATTGGCGTGTCATAAAGCGATGGGCAGCGACGCACATCACGTTCATTAAACGGTGGTGTGGTAATATAACAATCAGGAAGTTGGTTTGATGATTATTGTTGTTCCGTGTCATAGTCAAGTCACATCCAAGCCGCCTTCGAAACCCCAGCGCAAGATCAGCCGTCACTATCTAGAGCGTGTCTCCATCAGTCGGCAAACTGTTTTTTGGCCAGGGGCTAGTATTTACTGATCGAAGCGGTACACCATTACCGGAAGGCTGTTTTAGACGATTAATCAAGCCACCAGGGGCGTAGTTCCGTTAAAGAAGTTCCGTTTGGGGGAGAGGAACACAGTGCCATATGGAGACAGATGCCCCAGAGAAACGCCAACAGACTGGTTTCTGCCCAGATTTGGCCCACTTTTTCTCAAAGTTCGGGGCTGAGGCCCCTTCTTACCTTACCATGAGACTGCACGTGTTCAAGCCAATCAGGAAATGAGTGTATTTCCCATAGGTATCGTAGTATCTGTACAGCATCGGCTGTCAACGCAACCTTCATGCCTAGCTTCATTGATCTCTTTCCTTGCTGCATGCGTTCCAAAACATTAGGAGTAGCGTTTCTTTGACGTTTTCTTATTTTTTTGCTACTTACTCATTTCCGGCCGCAAAAAGTACGATCACGTATCGGACCTACGTCAGAGACTTGGCTGGTCCTCGCCGCGGATCTAAGCAGGCATCCCACCACCCTTTGATTCGATTTGATGTTTATTTTCGATCACGGACATTAAGCATTACGTAATATGATGAGTGGATTGGCGCATAAGCGGAACGCTTAAATCTGAGCGCCTCTCCTAACAATAACAAGATATAGTCATCGCCGCCTGTCATCTCACTCTCAACCACAAGATCTTCCACTCAAGTAACCTGTTTATGCCTCGTTCGCGTGCTGAAATGGAGAAACGACGTTTTTCTATTCGCGCACCCAAGTTGAATAGCGAACTGCCGGGCTATCTTCGACTCCTGATTGTGTGGCCCTCAAAGCATGTGAAGAGACCTCTTGTGGGACCTTCTGAAGGTGCCATGACCCGTCTGTGCGGCGGAGTTTTGACTGATCTGCTTTTGCGTTTGTTTCATTGCGTTGTTTTGTGTTGTATTTCTGTCTCTGTCGTGTTGACCTTTTAATCGTCCATTTATATGCTGACGATGGGTAGTAATAGCCCGAAGTTTATTCGGGATTATCCAAATACACATCAGCGTCAATGTCAACGTCAATTTCTTCCTCAGCTGAGACGGAGCCGCACGAGGGAAAGCGAAAGGTCGAGTCGCTCTGGCCCATCTTCAAGATCCACCACCAAAAGTCCCGCTACATCTTCGACCTCTTCTACCGCCGCAAGGCCATCTCCAGAGGTGCGTGCCGTCTGCGGGCTGAACGGCGGTGGCTGAGTTTGCCGTGCTGGTTACTCAGGCCGCGTCAAAGGGATCCGTGTATTCAGCACGACGCTTGGACTGAACGCGTTCAGTCAGTTCGACCTGCGTGTGTCAGCGTAACAGAATGACGCAGGGCAGAATGCGCTTTCGTACCGCTGCGGACTAAAACGCGGTCATCATTGAGGTGTTACTTCGGTGTGCCTGCCACCTATAATGCCAAGTTAAACCAAGCCTGCCGGATCTGGACTTCGTGGGGGCGTTGCTTCCCCTCTGTCGGCCCGTCCAACGGAGCCCATGCTTGCTAAGATGAGTCTGTGCCTGTATTAGGTGACTTGATGCAAGTTGGTTGTCACTCGGTCTGTCCGGCGGAGCTCGTGCTTGTTTAGGTGAGCCCGTGCCGGTATAAGGTGACTTGATACAGAATGGTTGTCACTCGGCCCGTCCAGCGGAGCTCATGCTTGCTGAGATGGGTCCGTGCCGCTATAAGGTGACTTGATGTGAGATGGTTGTCACAACAGGCTTCGTGCAACCCATCTGGCTCACTTTTGGCTCGACATATGGAACGGCTGGGTTGCAGTTGAGCAGTGCGACGTGAACGGGACGCAAGCTGGAATGTTAATCCATGAGAGACGCATGGGTGGGTGAAGTCGTGTTGAGATGACCTGAACTGTCGATACGCCCGAAAAGTCCAGTAATCAATCAGTCGACCATGAAGAGCTCACTAACCTGGTCATCCAAGAGGGGTGGCGGCGGAAGGGAGCTCAGGAGTTACATTTGTCCATAATGAGAGGACAGTGTGAACCCTGTGACTGCCTGGCACGTAACTGAGATGTTCCTCGGGAGGTGTTAAATGATCTTCAAAATCCTGCAAACTCGAATCGAATTCCTGCTTAGTCCTCTATGTATACCTGCTGGCGCAGCAGGAGGGGTATAACTTCGTGGCTCTCCCTCAGTTGCAACCCTGCTGCCCCATAAGTTAATGTTTAAGACACTGGAAGCATATTGAGGTGGCAACTGGGTAATATAACACTGATCCCAAATCCAACAACTCGTCTGATTTTGACGGCGGTCCTTTTATGCTAGAAAGGTTAAATCATTCTTAAATGTGTCGTTACTTCTAAATTACATTAGTGCCGTGATAAGGGGCGAGAAGTTGTGACAGAGATGCAGCACCTTCACGTAGAGTACAGAGCGTCCCCTCCCCCGCAGGCCCTGACGGTTCGCGCACCGCAGTTGAAACCCTTACGGTGGCCTCACATGAGAACGGTGCTTCGCAGAGCTCTACGACTACTGCCTGAAGGAGAAGATGGCCGACGGCAACCTGATAGCCAAGTGGAAGAAGCAGGGCTACGAGAACCTGTGCTGCCTGCGCTGCATCCAGACGCGCGACACCAACTTCGCCACCAACTGCATCTGCCGCGTGCCCAAGGCGAAGCTGGAGGAGGTGAGACGCGACGCCAGGGTGGCGACGGCTGTGGCTGGTCTCAGTTCGTCTCACCAGCCGGTGGTCTTCTGTTGGGCGGGGTCTGGCGGTGCGATCTTGCCACATATCGGAAAGCACAGCGCAGATTTGTGTCATGCTGTATTGTCGTGGTCGTGTAAGGTTCTGAACTTCGGCTGTCACAATTGTATCGATGTCATCCAACAATTGACAGCTCTCCGGACGTCTTGTCAATGACGCTAGTTGAAGTCTCTTTATCGCACGCACGTACAACGGAAAGCAGTCTGAAATGATAGTGTGCAAGTTTACGATGGCAAGGGTTGTAGCGCTAACGTGTTGACGAGCTCTGGGATGAATAAAGTTGACGTTGCTGGTGCTTCCTTCGTGGCGTCTGTGCAGTGGCTTGTTGCTGTCGTATCTGCTGAATTGCTTGTTTAGAAGACCGTCCGCTGAGGTGCCGTGTTTTGATGACCGGCCGCATGTCTCAACAATCGGCATCCCGTCACGACCTGCCCTGTGACGGTTGTCAGACCGTCACAGCTCGTGGTGTGACCGTCGTCAATCCGTCAGCCCGTGCTGTGACCGTCGTCTGTCCGTCAAGGCCGCATTTTGTGACCGGCGTCAGTTCATCATATCCCGTGTTGTGACGGTCGTCACTCTGTCACAGCCCGTGTTGTGACGGTCGTCACTCTGTCACAGCCCGTGTTGTGACAGGTCGTCACTCTGTCACAGCCCGTGTTGTGACGGTCGTCACTCTGTCACAGCCCGTGTCGTGACGGTCGTCACTCTGTCACAGCTCGTGTTGTGACGGTCGTCACTCTGTCACAGTCCGTGTTGTGACGGTCGTCACTCTGTCACAGTCCGTGTTGTGACGGTCGTCACTCTGTCACAGCCCGTGTTGTGACGGTCGTCACTCTGTCACAGTCCGTGTTGTGACGGTCGTCACTCTGTCACAGCCCGTGTTGTGACGGTCGTCATTCTGTCACAGTCCGTGTTGTGACGGTCGTCACTCTGTCACAGCCCGTGTTGTGACATGGTCGTCACTCTGTCACAGCCCGTGTTGTGACGGTCGTCACTCTGTCACAGTCCCGTGTTGTGACGGTCGTCACTCTGTCACAGCCCGTGTTGTGACGGTCGTCACTCTGTCACAGCCCGTGTTGTGACGGTCGTGTGAGTCTGTGCCGCAGGCCGCACGTTTTCACACCGATCCGCCTGTATTGCAGGGCCGTGTGGTGGAGTGCATACACTGCGGCTGTCGCGGCTGTTCCGGCTAGGCCTCTAGCACGGTCGCCATCATCATCACCCGCACCGTGACCGACGCCGGGGCGAGGGAGGACCGCTTCCCCCAGCCGGCTGGCCGGGCGGGGCGGACCGCTGCCCTCAGGCGACTGCCACTGGACGGCCGCCGGCCCGCCTCCGCCTCCCACGTAGGGGCGAAGGCCCGGCTCGCGTGGGAGCGGGGGTCTCGCTGGCTCGTGATGGACGCTGACGAGCCTGTGACCACATGGGAGAAGCCTCAAGTCACGTGACAGTTGTGTGTCTCACAGAGGACGGTGAGCGGCTGCGGCGATGGGACACGTGGGAAGCGGCAGGCGGGAAGCTTTCGCGAGCGTCTCTATCCCCTCCGTGTGGAATGGGACACCCCATTGTGACAGGAGAAAAGGAAGTCACGCAATGTGCCTCCCGGGAAGTCTGGAACAAAATAACTGTTGTGGAAAGTGTGACGCTGATGATTGTTGATGGGCGCTCCCATCATCCTGTGCCTGAGCCTCTGAAGGGATCCATGATGATCATCTTTGCGTGGGCTCAGTGGCTGTTCAACTTCTCCACCTGTGAATGTAAACGGCATCCCGTTCGCCCCCGTGCTATACCGGCATATTCTTGCAGTGCATGGCATATGCTTGCGTCCACCGCGGCAAACGGCCAAGCTTGGTGGTCTTTTGTGTGAAATACATGTCACTTGAAAGACAGAAGCATAAGTTGTCTCCGAATCTTGATCAGGGGTGTGGTTTTGTTTTCCGTTGGAGGTGTCCCCCCCCCCCCCTCGGCACCCGGATGTTGGATTTTGTTGTCAGCCGTCCAAATTGCGAAAGGAAGTTAAATCTGGACACAAAATAAACCTCGCTTGAAAACGGAGGTGGTGTTTATTTTTGGCGGATTCAGCCCCCCCCCTCCCCAACCCCAACTGATTTTGGAAAACAACACCTGATCTTGAGCCACGTTCTATGGCGGGCGTCGCTGGCGGCACGAGGTGCACCACTTGGAGCGAATGAAACCTCCGCTTCCAGCTCAGTTCCCACGCCGCTGCCTTCAGCAGGCTACGCAGAATGGCTGACTGACCAACGCGGCCAACACACTCGCATAACGGCTTCCCCACATGCTGGCAGTACCTTGAGGCTGACACGGGTGGGAGGTGGTAGGTCAACTTTGGGGAACCGGCTGCCGGAAGGGCTTCTTCCGGATTATCTACGCTCAGAAATCTTACCGCCCTGCATATCTACGCTAGGAAAACCTGCCAGATGATCTGCGCTCAGGAAACCTGCGCTCGGAGTGCGAACTCGCGCAAGGCCTCCGGGAGTGTCCACTGGTGATGTTTGTTAATGGTGGTATGGAGGTCTAGAATTGTATTGGTGCAGGGCCGACACCGTCAGGAGGGGGGCGGGGTTAGATAATTGGCCACCTCTACTGTTTCTGTAGGAGGCAAACGTTGTCCTGTCCTCGCACATTCAAAGGGGGGGGGGGGGGCGTGTATGCCGGCGGGTTTACATACCGTGTAGTTTGTAAGTCTGTTAAGAAGAGGGTGTCATCCGAAGTTTTTTTTTTTGGGGGGGGGTATTGGTTTGGATTTAGTCCCTCAAACCTGCTTAGGATGCTCCTGGATCTGCTCCCCCGTAGATGTCAGTGGCGTCACTCCTGACCATGCTATGGGGATGAAGGCGGATCCTCACTCATTAAAAGAAGAACAGCAGCATAGGCATTCTTTGCGATGATTTTTCGAGCGTCGTCATTCCATGCAGTAGATCCGGGAGTATATATATATATATATATATATATATATATATATATATATATATATATATATATAATAGAGAGATGCTTCCAGGCTGATGCCTCTTGGCACAGGAGCGTTCTGATAATGTTGAATTGTGGTCTGGTGCAAGGGATATGCTGGCTTACCTAGTTTGCGCGGACCCCCTGCGTCTAAGATGCACTTAGGGAGTGTAACAAAGGTACGAGACAGGAATGTGGTTCGCATTTTATCTTCAGCTCATTTCATGGCAGCACTCATATTTTGCTACGGTATCTCTTAGTGGCCTTGAAATACGCAAGATGAATGCGAGACAATATAGTCACATATGTCTCTTCTGCGTCAGAACCTCCGCATTGCGTTATGCGATAGCTAAAACATTAGCGCATTGCGCACCCTGATCATTGTAGCGCACAGGCTAGATCGATGTGCTTTCTGCACACCCCACCATATGAACTGAATTGCCCGTTCTTGTTCGATTGATCCGATTATTCGAAGACGGTTACCGATAGCGGGTTCGTGACCGACGTCGTGAGTTGGTGCCTCGAATCTTGCGCAGCTGTGGGCGTAGAAGCCAGGCGTGGGACTAAGTTATTTTGCAAGTTGCGACATTCTTAGACGTGATGGCAGCAAATGAATGCATTTACTTTTATGAAGATGAAGTGTATCGCATCACAAAGAAAGGAAACCTTGAGTTTGGGATGGTTCTTCAAAATGCGGACGTTGATACTGATGAGGAAGAGTCTGGATCAGAAGAGATGGAAAAGGTGAAGAATGGACACATTCTGGTTGCCTGGCACCCACGAGGTGAAGAAAATGTCGTCCATGAGAAGAAGGTAAGCTAGAAACACAAGTCTTAAAGGTCTGTTGTCACTCACAAAATTGTTTATACTTCATTGATAGTGCCTACACTGTCAGAGCCATAATTCCAGCCTACAGATAATCCATCCATGCCCTGCACACTTACAGGCATTGGTGTGCTGAACCTCATACTAGCCCATGTGAGTTTCTGGCCTGTGCGATGTTTTATAAAAACATGGGGCTTATAAAACACATCTGTGTTTTTTTTCTCAAATCACCCTTACAACACATGAATTCCCTGTAAGATTGGCTTTGTTGCACGGACTGGTAGTGACTGGGCATCAAATGTGTAAGCTCTCTGATGTATTCTGCGCACACACTGAAATTTTCTGTGATGCTCCTACTATTCCGGGCAAGTTTGGTACAAAATGTGTTCTTGCAGTCTGGCTCTTGACACAGAGTGCAGAAATACATACAGAAATACACATAAATAGTTTCAAGCAATAATTAAACATACAGTAAGTGCATTTAGCTTGAAGCCAATTGGATGCACATGTGCACAATTTCAGATATTTAGCAATAAAGCTGAAAATGTCAGACATGTTTTTGCTAAGATGGTGATGGTGCTAATGGTTATAATTTATGTTGCTTCTTGTTATCATTGATGGTCCTGATGATTATTTACTATGTTTAACCACATATTCAGTGTTTTTTTGCGGCAGGAATATGTCAAATGCTGAATTTTCTGGCAAATTTTGTCAGTATTACTGGGCACAGCCCCTATTTGTGGAGAATTATATGTAAGGCTACATATACAACTGATTGCACCTTAAATGCTGTTGGTATCTGCATGCATTTTGGTGCTGTTTTACATGGCTAACACAAAAATAGCCAATCTGCTCAAAACTTGTGGAGTTCAAATAACCCTGACTGATCCCAGAAGAGCCTATACCCATACTGCAAAACCCCACACTCTTGATATTAGAAATTTTCTGGTGTAACAAAAAGTAATGCCAATGCATTTGTACACATGCCGTTATCACAGACATGTCCTCAATGCCCTGAATCAGCACTTCTTTCCATTCTATGATAAGCTGTTACTCTCGTTTGTATGTGTACAGTTACTAAGATTTCAACACAGCAGATGTATACCTGCTAGTGTTGTGCTGGACCCAGCTGGTGTATTCTGTTCATTTAACCCATGAGACATGTATTAGATAAATGATCCATTAAATTTATTTTTCTAGATGTGGAAAGATCAACTGGACCAGACCTCATCTGGGTGGTATCAGATGAGGTTGGCTGCACTGGGCTCACCTTAAAAGCTGTGTTCAAAAAAAGGTATCAGCTTTGCATAATGGAGCCTCTTATGCAGACTCAGCCCAGCCTAGCCATATGCCATCCTGTTCAGTCCTGCCTGGTCCCATCCAGACCCACCTGATCCTGACTTGTGCTGTCTGGTCCCAGGTGGTTCTGCACAATTCCATTCATCCCATCTGATCCTGTCTGGTTTTATTGGGTTGATCTGGTCCTGTGCAGTCTCATCTAGACCTGTCCAGTCTTAACCAGTTCCAGGCACTCCATTCCTATTTGCTTGTGTCTGATATTTTTTAGCATGTTAGGCCATAGAGAGCAAATCTCTTTAGGGTATGCCCATTGCTGTCATAAACTGCACCAGTTGACTGTAGCACAACACCAGATAGCAATAGGCTGCTGTTTTACAACCCTGGCTGCTGCTGCAGCAACAGGAGCTTTCATAGGTGGAAGTATGGGTGTGGGGAGCTAATTTGGGGTGGGAAGTACCTGTATAGGTTTCTTACATGCAGTCAACCATATTAGTATTGTGCAGTGTATGAGACATCTTTCAATGTCCAAATTGTATATGGGAGTTTCAGGTAGAGTTACATTCAGAAAGGAGGAAAGAAGCTGTGCTGATCTAACATTATCATAGCATAAAGTGGTCTAACTCTTTTACACTTAAGAGGATTTGTTACTTCCCTGATATGAGGCAATTATGAACACATTGGTTCATGCATCAGATAAACTGACATGAATTGTGATGAGCAGCTGATTCCCAAGCTTACAGTAGTGTTTGTTGGGGGATCATTATAATTTAGATAAAAAGATGTTTAAGGAAATGGTCACATTAACCTAAAGCATGGTCACCACATTTGTTGTGCCAGCCTTGAGCTTGCCTGGTGACAGGGACCAGAGCCATCTCAGGATGTTTGTAAGTCCTTTCAACTAATTTTTGTTCTGCCCTAGCAGCATCTAACTATCATGTTGTTCTTACCTGATGCTATGTTAGCATTGCAGGCAGTAGTGATGTAGGCACCTGCATGTAAAATGGACTTAAAGATGGTAACTGAGGGAGTTAGGATGTAGCATCATTCTTGTTATTGCTTTTGGCTTTTAGCATATCTTTCCTGTATGCTGCTCACTCGGTGACAACAGAATGCTGCTTCTGGAAGTGAACATCCAGATGTGTATTTTTTTATGAGTTTGAAATGCTGAGTTGGTTTCTGGCTTGGCTGTTAGGCCATGAGCTGTCATGTTGACACCAGACATCAGCAAAGTGAAGAACCTGGCAAGGACATCACACACCATTATATCAACATCTGGAGAGTATTCAGGCTCATTCTCAACCTGTCAGCTGTGCTGGCTTACCAGCTACATATTTGTTGGTCCTACCTCTGATCACAATTTGGATTACACACTCACAAAGGTGCCTGTCATGTACTCCCTCACTAGGTCCTCAGTTGGTGGACCTATTGGCCTGATGCTGGTCCTAGCATCCCTGTTGGGTCACCTCCAACACACTCAGAGGGATCTGTCGAGTTGCTGGCTGACCCTGGTCCCCTGTTTGGCTGCCCGACCCCCACCCCCTTCCAGGTGGGTGCGTAATACTGCTGTTTGATGCTGCTAGCTGTGTCTCCCTGTGATGGTCGGAGTGTCTGTTCCTGGCCGGCCCCCATCCCCTGGGTGATTCTAGTGTCCTGCTGTCCAAGCACAGGGGTCTTGTCTGGAACTGTTCATAGAGTATATGAGGTATTTTGGCAGTTTTTAACTGTGCCCCTGGTTATGCACTGGCTATGCCAGATGATCCTCCCACACCATCCCGGCGTTGTGCTGTGTGTTATCGTGACTTGTTCGAAAGCCAGCGGCCACTTGGCATCTCGTTGAGCTAGCAATGTGAAACAATGAAGGGCATGTTCCTTGTCATGAGGGGAATAAAATGAAATCTAGCTTCAGAAACATCCATTTGAAAGATTTTACATGATTTGAAACCAACATTTGCATATAACATTACACTGTTCCCTCTCGCTCCGTTATTATGCTTTTGTTGAGCACCACCAATATCTTACTCCCCATCCATTTTAACATAATTTATGACCGACCTTTCTCACCGTGTCTCCCCCACACCAAAGGCAGGTGCTTCTCACTGCTGTCTGTTGCTGGATAATATTATTTTGCGCCCCCACTGACATCTTAAACTGTGTTTGTTTGTGATTGCGCTTGATTGTCAGCGCATCTGCGTCTGCCATGACCACCCTCCCCCCCCCCCCCCCACAGTCCCCCCTCCCCGCCCTCTAACCGCCCCCCCCCCCCCCCCCCCCTCACGTTGGCAGGTGGGCCTGTCGGACCGCTGTCTGATGCCGGGCGACATAGTGCGCCGCCTGGTGCCCGGCCAGGACACGCAGCGCGGTTACTGTCGCGCCATCACCATGAAGGCCACCGTCCAGGTGGTCGGCACCCGCCAGGTCATCTACAACGTGGCCAGCGACGAGCTGACACCCCTCGAGGTCAGACGCGACGCCGGCCGGCCGGCCTCGGGTCCGGCAGCGGCGCGCTGCTGACAGCCGCCCGTCAGAACAGAACGTGTCACCGGTGTTTATCGTTGTTGGGAGTGTCGTGCTTTCGGTACATGTAATGGTGCCAGTTGAAGCCTGCTTATATTCAGCTGTCTGCAATGGTGGCTGTTGAAACCTGGTTACGTGCAGCTGCTTATCGCGCGAACTGTTAAAGGATAGTTAACTCGGTAAGCCTGGTATCTACGTTTATCGCGTGGTGAGCGTGGAGTGGCCATGTTCCATTTGTGCTCCATTCTACCCATGTGCCAGAGGCAGCTTGTCTCTTTCATACCACACCGGGGGTCGAGTTGGTCGCACAAGCCACCAACGCGTCGCCGGCTGCATGACACTGACCCGACCCGCGCGGCGTATTCGGCCGATAACTGGTGACTGCCGACCCATCCACCGTCGGTCGGTGACGACTTCCGGTGACGGCCGGATGGTGACTGGTGACCTCTGTCAGCTGGTGACTGGTGACCTCTGTCAGCTGGTGATCGGTGACCTCTGTCAGCCAGTGACCACTGACCTCTGTTGGCTGGTGGCGGGTAACCTTTGTCGGATGGTGACGAGTGACCTTGACAGCTGATGACTGGTGACCTCTGTTAGCTGGTGACCGGTAACCGCCGTTAGCTGGTGACCATTGGCCTCTGTCACCTGTTGACCAATGACCTCTGTCAGCTGGTGATCGGTGACTTCTGCCAGCTGGTGACCGATGACCTCGGTTAGAAAGTTACCAGTGATCTCTGTTGGGTGATGACTGGTGACCTCTGTCAGCCAGTGACTAGTGACCTCTGTCAGCCAGTGACCAGTGACCTCTGTTGGATGGTAGCAGGAAACCTCTGTTGGATGGTGAGGAGTGACCTTACCAGCTGATGACTGGTGACCTCTGTCATCTGGTGACCGGTAACCGCTGTTAGCTGGTGACCATTGACCTCTGTCAGCCAGTGACTAGTGACCTCTGTCAGCTGGTGACCGGTGACCTCCGTCAGCCAGTGACCAGTGACCTCTGTCGGTGATGACCGGTGACCTCCATCAGCCAGTGACCGGTGACCTTTGTCGGTGATGACCGGTGGCCTCTGTCAGCCAGTGACCAGTGTCCTCTGTCGGTGATGACCAGTGACCTCTGTCAGCCAGTGACCAGTGACCTCTGTCGGTGATGACCGATGACCTGACGCCACGGCGTTCGGCAGGAGTTCGCGCCGGACATCGCCGTCTGCATGGACGCCTGGGTGGGCATCATCAACTCTGTGACGTCGGACGTGGAGCTCCAGTTTGCCGACGGCTCCGTGTGCGTGCTCACCGACGAGGAGGCGGCCGAGCTGGACGACCCCAGCGGCCGCCGGCTCACGGTCAGTGAACCACCGCCCCACAGACGGCCCCTGCGGCCGCCGGCTCACGGTCAGTGAACCACCGCCCCACAGACGGCCCCCGCGCGCACCGGTCCAACGCATTTATGAACGGCAAGATGTCAACGCGGTTTTGACGCAGTCCGCACTGCGTTTGAAGTCGAGCTTGCTGGCGTCACTCTTGGTGTCAGGGTATGCTCGCACTGTACGGACGGAACAGGGGCTGTGTTCAGGTGCGCCTTACTGCGGGGGGGCCTATGGCAGGGGTCATATGTACGTCCGGTGGCGCGCTACGCTGGCGGGGGGGGGAGGGTTATCTGCAGATGGCGATACATGAACGGTGTACGAGCCACTTCACCGATAGGGCCAGGGGGTTACCCTTCACTGGCGGCCCGTTGTCACAGTCAGGAGCACCCCATCAGTTACGCACGACTCGCGTGTTATGCAACATTTGAATGCAGCCGATATTGATCCTAAGATGAACAGCGCTCCTGGCCTCTGAATAACTGCCAGCACGACCTGAGTTTGTATCCAGACACGATTCCTGACGGTCAGTCTTATGACCGTATCATTGTTACTCTGCTTCGCGCAAAGCGCACTGCATAGGCAACGGCAGGCATGCGTTAGAATATTCCGTCGTCGGAGCACACCTTCCCTGCTATTTGAAGTGGATGGCGTAAGGGTCTGGCGGAGGCCGAAGTCCGCTACGGTCAAAGCGTGACCGCCATGTGGGGTTATCAGCTGACATATCTCAGGCTGTCACCTTGTGACCGCCATGAGGGGTGATCAGCTGACATATCTCAGGCTGTCACCTTGTGACCGCCATGAGGGGTGATCAGCTGACATCTCAGGCTGTCACCTTGTGACCGCCATGAGGGGTGATCAGCTGACATATCTCAGGCTGTCACCTTGTGACCGCCATGAGGGGTGATCAGCTGACATATCTCAGGCTGTCACCTTGTGACTGGCGTGAGGGGTGATCAGCTGACATATCTCAGGCTGTCACCTTGTGACCGCCATGAGGGGTGATCAGCTGACATATCTCAGGCTGTCACCTTGTGACCGCCATGAGGGGTGATCAGCTGACATATCTCAGGCTTCCACCCGAGACACAAGCTGAACTCAGTGATCCGCCACGTGCCAGCGCCTTCTATCTAACGATGTGTCATTTCTGATGCCGAAGATCGCCCAGAGCGGTCATGCACTTAACGCGCCCACAAACGGCAGGCGACTGCAAACTGGCATGTGCCCAGCAGTCGTCTTATATATCGCAGTTTAATGACAAATCAGGCTGAAGCAGTGGTCAGGTTCTCGTCAGGCGTAATCACTGATGCCCGGTATACACGTGTGACTGTCGTATGCTTCCCACCTGGGTGTGAGTGTACCCCGCCCTAACCGGCCCGGCCGACCGGTGCCGCAGGACTCGGAGTTCCGCGTCTGGTTCTACCCGGGTCAGAAGCTGCAGGGCCCGATGCGCACCTTCGAGCCGGCCCGCTGGCTCACCTGCAACAAGGACACGCAGGCGCTCAAGGAGAAACGCAACAGACTGGTCAAGGTCGGTGGTGACGCTGCGGCGGTTTGTCCGTCACGTGCGAAGTTTGTGGGTGTTTTGTGTCAGTCGTTTTCTCCGCAAGTCCACTGTCCACCATGACCAGCGATTTTAAGTTCCTTGTTTTGTTCTTTTTAATGAGACTTGATTTCGTCATCGGCTCCATTTCCGTACTCTCGCGTTCTTCGACTCACTAGAATATCACTAGTGGCCAGCCCATCCAAATGCGTTCAACGCAATATGAACCGCTTTCAGTATGCAGGGAATGTGGACGCTGTATCCCCGCCTGTGGACAGTGTTCTCCCCATTTGGGTGGACTGCCCCCCCCCCCCCCCCCGCGCTTGTGGACACTTTTCCCGCCGTCACTATCTTCCTCCCCTCTCCTCGTCCCGCCCGGCCGGGACCGGGTGGGGGTGGGGGGCGGGGCAGTGGTACGTCGGTCAGCTGTCAGTGTTGACACACCTGCCGCACTGCGGCAACGCTCCCCCCCCCCCCACCCCCCCCGGCTGGGGGCGGTGAGGGGACACCGAGATCATGCCGACCCGGCCAGAGTCGAGAGTGGCGAGTGGAAATGGAGCCGTGCTGAACCTGGGCTGAGCCGGGGGCTTGCTCGGACCTCGGTTCTCAACTTGTGGCCACTGCCGCATGGGAGGCTGATGGCAGCATGCTTCGCGTCTGGTGCCATCGCGTCTGGGGGCTGGACTCGCACGCCATAAACAGCCGCGGGGGAGGGGGAGACGGGTAAAGCCGGCTCGTGGCCTTAGTCCGGCACTGCAGGCTGGTGCGGTGTCCCAAACGGCCGAGGTCCGGAGGGAATGAGTAATGAGGAACGATGATTGGTCCATTTGCCGTCCGGCAGCCGCCATGCCACGCCACAACTTGTGCAGGGAATACTGACATAGGCGTTGGCCACGAATGGACCCACGGCTACCTTTCATGACATTGAGGACGTGGGTACAGATTTGCCGTTGAGCGTCATCAGATCTTTGACGTACTGTGGTGCGCCAATACGCTCCTGTGGCACCCTCCCAGGCCAGGCGTCCCTGCAAATAGGAGCTGACTTGGAGGATTGATACTATGTTTTGGAGTGACTTTAGTCAAGGACGCGCACGCGCAGCTTGTGTTAATGCAGGCTTTGCGTGTTAAGGATCGCCCGGCCCATCCAAGGCAGGCGCAGTACATCCTGGATGAGGTCTCGAAAATAGCTCCAGCCATCTCTCTGTTTCTCCCATTGGCGGGGCGGGCAGAGCACGCCACAAACAGACCGGGAGCCGGCGCCGCGCAGGCCGGTATCGAGCTGCTCCGGTCCGCTGTCAAGCGTCAACGCTGTGGGGCGCGCCGCGTCCCCCCCCCCCCTCCCCTCTCACCCCGTCTAAACCGCGACGTTTCGCTGGACCCGGGTGTGACGTCATCTGTCGGGGAGGGAGGGGGGCTGTTTGGCGTTGTTAGACGATGAAGACGCTTGGCAGTGTTAAATTCGTTAGGCACAGAGGTGTTCGTTTCGGCGGTAGCATTCATATGATAAGTAAACGGCCGTTATTTTCTGTTGTTTTTTTGCGCAGTCAGTCGTCGCAACCAGTGTCGGTGCAGTGCTTTCCACCAATGGCAGCGCCTTGCCATGCCGACTGCTATCGATTCAGTCTGCCGAAGAGCCACCGGCGAGCGGCGCTGACAACCCGCCGGGCACGGCCTTGACTCTCCGCCGGACACGGCTGTGACTCCCCGCTGGACACGGCCTCCGAACGATGGGTGTGCGGCCGACGCTGTTGACCCGTGCCACTGACAGCAGGCGTCCGGCCGACCTTGCGCGCCGGGCCGGCACCTGAACGCGCGCCGGTCGGCTCGCCACGCGCCCACGCCTTCCGGCCGAGCGCCAGCGTGTGTGTCAGGCCTCGCGCCCACCTCAGGCCCGCCCCTGTGGGACCAGCACTCCCACTGGACCGTCTGCCTATGCGCGACTGGCGCCGTACAGCCATGTGACTGACGTCATACAGCCGTGTGACTGACGTCATGCGGCGATAGGCCTAACTGCATACGTCCGCGTGGTTAGTGTCATACTTTCGTGTGATTGGTGTCATGAACCCGTGTGAATGGCGTCATACGTCCGCGTGATTCTTGCCATACACCCGTGTGAATGACGGCATACTTCCGTGTGATTGGTGTCATACAGACGTATGAATGGCACCGTCCGTCCGTGTGATTGGTGTTATACAGCCGTGCGAATGGCATACGTCCGTGTGAATGGTGTCATACATCCGTGTGATTGGTGTCATAATTCCGTGTGATTGGTGTCATACACCCGTGTGAATGACGTCATACTTCCATGTGATTGGTGTCATGCATCCGTATGATTGACGTCATAGTCCGTGTGACGGACGCGATATGTGCATGTGACCGACGCCACGCCCGTCCGCCAGGTGACGGTGACGCGGTACCGGGTGACGTCACTGAACGTGCACTGGCAGTGTCGTGCCGTGACGTCAGAGGGTAGCCTGGATCAGCCGGCCTACGTCATCACCGGTGACGATCTCAAACGGTGAGAGGCGCGATGGGGTGCTGGCGGGGATGGGCGCTGAGACGCAGAGGACAGCGGGGAGAGGGGAGATGCTGGGGAAGGAGGTTATTTATCAACCCCAGCATGTTCCAGCAACATTTACGGACGTCCCGCCGGTTATGTACGGGAAAGAGGAGCAAGCGTTCGCCTTGGGCGTGGCCTAAAAGGCGCTAACCCTGATCCTTGTTCTGCCGGCAGAGTGCGCATGTTGAATGTCTTCGAGCCGTGTACCCTCCAGCTGGGCGACATGAACACGTACCGACTGAGGGAGGACGACCTGGTCATGTCGCTCGACGAGTGGAAGCGGCTGGAGAAGGACACCCTGAAGGCGGGCAAGCGGCCGACGGCGGCCCGGCCTCCGGCCGCCGCCGGTCGCGTGGCGCAGCCTCCGGCGGAGATGAGCGGTGAGAGCCGACGGCCGCGGCGCCTGCTGAGGTCAACTGGGCTGGGGCTGCATATCCGCCACGCGAGCCTCGTCATTGACTGTTGCTGGTCGTGATCCGGTGTGAGCGGACCGCATCCCGACCCAGGCCTTCGACCTGAGCTCTGACCTGACTTGTAACCTGACTTGTGACCTGATATGTGCCCTGTGCCCAGACATCTGACCTGAACTCTGACCTGACTTGTGACCTGATGTGACTTGCAACCCTGTCCTGTGACCGGCCTGTGACCCTGACCTGTGACTCTGACCTGTGTCCGGACCGTGTTGACAGCGCCGGTGGCTGGTGCGGCGGCGGCGGCGCCGGCGGCCAGCGCGGGTCTGCCCAACGGCGGTGAGCCGCTTGACGACGAGATGGGCAGCGTCAGCAGCTACAGCAGCGTGGGCTCGGCAGGTGCGGCGCTCTGTCCGGCTCGCCTGGCACTGTACCCCACCCCTGCACCCTTCCACCGCAACCCGTCACTGCAGGCCGCTGCTGCGCCACGCCCCTGTACATCATCCCTGCACCATCTGCAGCCCACCCCTGCACCCCCTGCACTCCACCACTGCACTCCACCCCCGCACCCCCCGCACTTCACCACTGCACCCCACCCCTGCACTTGCCCCTGCACCCGCCCCTGTACCTCATCTCTGTGCCCTACCCCTACACTTCGTCCTTGCCGTCATGTTCCGCAGGCTGTATCTGTCGGTGCACTCCACTGGTTGGCAGCCATGCATCTACACCTTAATTCTGTACGGCGCGGGTCCGCGCGCGAACTAGCACCAGCACCCCGCGCGCTCCGTGCCAAGGGCTAGTCCACGCCCTCTCACCGCTACTGACCGTCTCCGGCAAGACCCGAGCGGCGGACACTGGGCCTCGCTGGCGTGCCCACGTGGGCTGGTATGGGGAGGACGTCGTCGCGCTGATGCGGCTCTCGCCGGGCTTTGCGACTGGCGCGGGTTCCGAGGGTGGGAGCCAGCCTTAGGCGGTGTCAGGACATGTGGAATGATCGTGGTTGGCTTCTAAATGTTGGGTACGGCTGACAGATGGCGTTGACGGGGTGAGTTGCACCGGCAGGCAAGCGCACACGTCGCGGTCCATCTCTGAAAACGCACATCATGAAGAAGCGCAAGCTGAAACGCTCTCGACCGTGTCGGCATCCTGTGTACGAAACGCGAAGCTTTAGTGCCGGTGATACACTTGTGGTGGAGACGGTGAAGACCGTCTCTTGGGTGACCGTCGTTTGGCAGGTAGGTTGGCGAAGCGACTTGTCTCCGCGAATGCGCCAGCCACCCACGGAGCCTGCTAACTACTTGGTTTGTAAATGGCACCACGGTGTGATCGCGACAATCAATGTTGTCTGCATATGTGACTCGACCCACATGGTCCGCGCCATGGCTCGGAGCAAGGCTAACAACCTGCCGGTACTCCGGCGGCTTATCAGTGCGTCGAATGTCGGGCGAGGCTCTGCTGCCAGTCTCCGATAGTTGACTGCCGTCATTGCTCCGCGTGTTAGGCTCGGGCTCTCCACATGGTGTGTGCCACGACCTGCTCCGGTATGGCGTGAGCCAACACGAACCTTATGTTGTCCTGACCCAAACTTTCATAGTTTAACTGTGGGGATGGCCTGAGAACACATTCTGACCTGAACTGAACGAATCTCATACGATCTGACCTGACGTAGATGTATCTGACTTGACGCGGCTTGAGGTGGGCAGGCTTGACCTGACCTGACCTGACCCGGACTAATCTCACCGAATCGGACCTGAAGTGGATGCACCTGACCTCACCTCACCTGAGATGACCTAGCCTGAGATGACCTGACCTTAGCTGTGGTGAGCTGAGCTGACCTGACTGGGGCATTCCGCAGGACGGCACAGTGGAGGAGGAGCTGCCCTCCATCAGCCTGCACCCGTCCCATCACCTGGACGAGCACGAGTTTTTCCCCGGTGAGTGGGCCGGTGTGCGGTCGTCCCCGAGTCCCGAGTCCCGAGTGCCAGCCCCGAGCCCCAGTCAGAACCCCAATCCTCAGCCCCAGGTTCGCCTCACGCCTCCGGCGCAGCCGCTCGGTGGAGAGGCCAGACTCCACGGATGGCCGGACAATGCCCGTTGAAGTCTGATGTATGAGTGGCCAGTTAAGGGATGAAACTTGTGGCGTTTTGACCGGCTGGTACCATGCGGTGACAATCATGAGTGAAGGCTTACATTTGTTAGTAGGGGTGGTGGAGGCCTCTTGAGATTCTGGGTGCTGTACAACACGGCCGTGGTGGCTGTCGTTAGTCAGGTGTCACAATCGAAGTCGCTCTTTTGCGGTGGTGTCCGCTCTTGTCGGCCTCAGTGGTTTGGGTGGGCTGTTCCAGCCATCAGTGTCGTTGCTGGCCTTGGTGCGCTGGCTTGTGAAGGACCGTGTGACTCCCGTCAGTTGTGCCACGCGCTCTGACTGGCCACCGGAATACCCTGATCTAACGGCTGGGCCGGCGCCGCTGGCAGGTGACTACGTGGTGGAGCAGAAGACGGAGGCGGGCCCCTCCGAGTACGGCGTGGTGCAGCGGGTGGACCACGCCGGCCGCACCGCCCAGGTCAACTGGTACCAGATCTACATCTTCGGCAGCCAGGCGAGGTGAGACCGGCCGACTCTCGCCACCCTAGGTCGGGGGGGGGGGGGGGGGCCGGGGGCGAGGAGGAGCTGTGAAGAGATCACGCGAGGCGGGCCTCACGCGCGGCTACGGTCTCGCGAAAACGCGGGCGTGGTGTGAGCGCTGCGGTGTTGTCTCGCGCATCGAAACACTGCGTGTTAATTGTGAAGGGCGTATCGACCACGGAGCGAGCTGCGCAGGCGGAGGCATACCTGTCCCCTGGTTATTGGCACACGGCGTGAACGCCCGCTCTGCCCGCTCCGCCCCGCCCCGCCCCGCCCCGCCCCATTGCAGTCCGGTCGAGTGTGTGACGGGCTCCGTGCGTGACCAGCCCGCAGATCCTGCGTCGGACCGAGGCCAGCGTGTACGATCTCTCCGACCACCCGGACTTCCGCTACCGGCCGGGCACGGTGGTGATCAGCGTGTCGCCGCAGACGCGCCTGCCGCCGCCCTCGCCCGAGCAGGGCTCCGGCGACGAGGCCGACGCCGCGCCGCCGCTGTCGCCGGCCGACGGACAGCAGAGCCAGCCGGAGCCGCCGGCCGGCGCCGCCGAGCAGCAGCCCGAGGCGACCGCGCCGCAGCCGCAGGACGGCAGAGAACGGTGCGTGGGGTCTCGCCTTCCTCCCCCCCCCCCCCCCCCCGGTCCTCTCCCTCTTCATGAAAGGGGCATGTCTGAATATTATACAGGGATGACCTTGGGATAAAAATGGCGTCGATGGGCGCGACAGCGCTGGAGTGCGGGCGGGTTCAGAAGCAGCTGAGAACTGTTCAAAAGCGGCCCGGCCTCCACTCGTTCTGGCTCAACTCGTGGACTGAAGCGCGGATGACTGCCGCCGTAATTGTCACCGCACGACGGTGTCAGCGATCTGTCATGCTCTCAGAGGGCTCGAGTGCGTGTCAGTGGTCGCTGGACGAGGCCTCGGCCTGTTCCGGGATCGTCGGCTGTCTCCGCCGCGGTGTGTTCCCTCGGGCTGGCCCGCCATCTGGCGTCGCCTGATCACGCTGCGCCGGCCGTCAGCGCGTCTCGCGGCAACCGCCACCCCCCGCCCCCAACACTGACCGTTGCCTCGGCCTTCTGTCGGCAGCGATCCGGAGCCCCAGACGAACGGGCCTGTCCCCCTGCCGGCGGCCGGCTCACCAGCGCCGCCCGGCTGCGCTCACGCCGGCCAAGTGCTCGACGTGCTGACATCTGGCGAGGTGAGTGAGAACCACAGCTGTGGAGTGGTGGCGCAGGCAGCGCCGGGTGTGGGGTGCGTGGGTGATGGCGGGCAGATTTCCCCCTTTCGGCTTCCACCACACCCGTATCCTCCTGTTGGTGTGTTTCAGTCCAATTGTGAACATGACAGCTGAAGTAGTCTGACCTATTGTCGCTTTTGAATTTTGAGCAACGTCATCGCCCTCGTCGTTGGACGAAGCCGGCGATGTGCGGACGTGGTGGAAACTGCTCTCTAGTTGATGCATCCTCAGTTTTTTTTTATAGAAGCACATGTTAAACAGTCATGAAGTACTGACTGGTTATGCTCCTCTCCTGTGAATGAGTAATCCGCCGTTGTTTGTAACTGGGTCGGCTCAGTTTTCTACTTGTCTCCAGTTCCAGTTTCCCCTGTGCTTCGATTGCTCCTTCCTAGCACAGAAGCCTGATGGCGCCCACCCCTTCAATTCCCAACCCCCCTCCCCCAACCTCTAACCTCCAACCTCCTCAACCCCATATGCTAACCCCAACCTTGGCCTCAGTCAAACCTCAACCCGACTGGGGTCAAGTCTGAGTGCCACCGCACTGAGCTGCGGGCCGTCTGACCTGCCCTGACCTGACTCGACCTGGGTGTCGTGACCTGGCGCTGACCGGTGCCGCCCTGCCTCAGGTTAAGGTGTGGTGGGCGGACGGCAGCAGCTCCAACTGCTACCCGCAGGACCTGTTCCGGGTAAGGAGCCGGTCTGGGCCGCGTGGCTCGCGCTGGTTACCCCAGCCTGTCCCAGCGTGCCGCCGCAGGCGCGGGGCGTGGCCTACGTGCAGCCACCAGCGTGTGTATCTAACCGCGACTCCGGTCCTGACGCATCCAATTCACTGTTACCGCTTTAACATGTGGTTGTAAACTGTGTGCTTAAATGTCCCACACTTAATGGACGCGATATATTGGGGAAGTAAGAGCTCTGTAAGATAAGCAGGACGCTTCGTGTCGCCGCCCCCGCAATCTTCCCCCGCCTCGCCTCTGTTGGGTTCTAGCGCTCGTGGGGTGGTGTCGCTGTACGTGCTCGGGGGTGGGGGTGGGGAAAAACTTAGCTAATGGTTGAGATTGCTCGGAAACAGACGTCCTTAGACTGATCCGCGTCCGTCTCAGACTGATCCGCGTCCGTCTCAGACTGAGCCGCGTCCGTCTCAGGCTGACCCTCGTCCGTCTCAGGCTAGGCTGACCCGCGTCCGTCTCAGGCTGACCCGCGTCCCGGTAGCTTTCAGGCTAGGCTGACCCGCGTCCGTCCTCAGGCTGACCCGCGTCCGTCCTCAGGCTAGGCTGACCCGCGTCCGTCTCAGGCTATGGCTGAACCGCGTCCGGTCTCAGGACTAGGCTGACCCGCGTCGTCTCAGGCTAGGCTGACCCGCGTCCGTCTCAGGCTAGGCTGACCCGCGTCCGTCTCAGGCTAGGCTGACCCGCGTCCGTCTCAGGCTAGGCTGACCCGCGTCGTCACAGTGCTATCTGACCCGCGTCCGTCTCAGGCTAGCTGACCCGGCGTCCGTCTCAGGCTAGGCTGACCCGCGTCCGTCTCAGGCTAGGCTGACCCCGCGTCCGTCTCAGGCTAGGCTGACCCGCGTCCGTCTCAGGCTGACCCGCGTCCGTCTCAGGCTAGGCTGAACCCGCGTCCGTCTCAGGCTGACCCGCGTCCGTCTCAGGCTAGGCTGACCGCGTCCGTCTCAGGCTAGGCTGACCCGCGTCCGTCTCAGGCTAGGCTGACCCGCGTCCGTCTCAGGCTGACCCGCGTCCGTCTCAGGCTAGGCTGACCCGCGTCCGTCTCAGGCTAGGCTGACCCGCGTCCGTCTCAGAGCTAGGCTGAACCCGCGTCCGTCTCAGGCTAGGCTGGACCCGCGTCCGTCTCAGGCTAGGCTGACCCGCGTCCGTCTCAGGCTAGGCTGACCCGCGTCCGTCTCAGGCTGACCCGCGTCCGTCTCAGGCTAGGCTGACCCGCGTCCGTCTCAGGCTAGGCTGACCCGCGTCCGTCTCAGGCTAGGCTGACCCGCGTCCGTCTCAGGCTGACCCGCGTCCGTCTCAGGCTGACCCGCGTCCGTCTCAGGCTGACCCGCGTCCGTCTCAGGCTAGGCTGACCCGCGTCCGTCTCAGGCTAGGCTGACCCGCGTCCGTCTCAGGCTGACCCGCACCCGTCTCAGGCTGACCTGCGTCCGTCTCAGGCTGAGCCGTGCCCGTCTCAGGCGGACCCGCGTCCGTCTCAGACTGACCCGGGTCTGTCTCAAACTGACCTACTCAGACTAATCCGCGTGACCCGCCTGCCCGACTCCGCCAGGTGGGCGAGTACGACTCGGACGAGGGCGAGCTGTGGGACAACGGCGACTCGGCTGAGTCAACCGAGTCAGCCGAGTGGGAGACGCAGTCGGAGGAGTCGATGGTGGCCGGTGACGTCGGGTGAGTTTGGTGCGGGTGGAGGGAAGGAGGGGAAGGCAATGGGTGACTGGTCCCTGTCACCACGCGCCGAGAGCTCCTCGTCACCCTGCGAGGGTCGCCTCACAACGGGGCGTGGCTTTGATTCATAGCGCTGACACGGTGGCGTTCAGGAGCGCCTTTTATAGGCCGTTTAGTGTGCGGTGTTGGGTGAGCGAGCGGCGTGTCGGGTGCGAGGTACCCCATTTACCACCCCGGGTCGCTGTTAGTGCCGCGGCGGAGTATCGTTCCAGTGGGCACTCGTTTATGTGACTCGTTCCGTGACACAGGCCTGTTGACCTGACCTGACGCGGGCCTGGTGACCTGACCTGACGCGGACCCGGTGACCTGGCCTGACGCGGGCCCGGCGACTTGACCTGACGCGTGCCCGGTGACCAGCCCTGACGTGGGTCCGTTGACCTGACCTGACGCGGGCCTGGTGAGCTGACCTGACGCGGGCCCGGTGACCTGACCTGACCGGTGGTGACCCGGCCGGCAGCTCTGACCAGGAGCAGCTGCCGGACGAGCGGCTGAAGCCGAAGCTGGCCGCCATCATCGAGAAGATCCGCGTGGCCATGACGCGGCTGGAGGAGATCTTCACGCTCAACTCGGCCCTGCAGAGCCCGCTCATCATGAAGCAGCTGCTGGAGATACACAAGAACAGCAGGTGCGGGCTCTGCCCGCCCTCTGTTTAAGGATTGGGACGGGAAGGGGGATGCCGTGGGGACACCCTGTAGAGCGTGCCTCTCCGCGTCTGAGGCGGAGGGATGCAGTCCTCGATGTAGACAGACGCTAGGTGACTAAGCGTCGATACGCAAGCGAAAGACTCGTGGCACGTACTCACTAATGGCACGTATGCGTTTGCATCGATTGTGAAATGAAGGCTGAAGCTTCTGCTGGAGACCACAAGAAACTTGGGTAAACATCCTCCGTGGTAGAACGACTGGGCCGCTGTCGCAGTGCCACGGGAATCTCGTGGTCACGGGCCTCTGGCTGCTGCGACGGTGCGTCAGTTCGATGTGCGGTCGGAGGCATGGGTGTAATCACGGCTCTGAGATGGAGGGGGGGGGGGGGGGGGGGGGGAATCAGGCTTGGGTGTGGTGGACAAGCTTATCTAAAAGTGGCATTGTGAATGGAAAGACGCGAAAATGTCCGGACATATTTGAGGGAGAGAAAATTGCACTGTATACAAATTGAGACGGTTTGTCTCGCTGCCCGACCCCCGTGGTTACGCGCGTGGTGGGAGGAGGCTGGGTATGTTGCCGTCGTTTACAGACCCCTCAGGCTTGGCCGGCCGGACTGGCGCCGTCATTGGGCAGACGGTGTGCAGTGTTGCGAGTGCGTATATGCAGCGGAGACGTCACTGTCAGCCTGACACTGTGTCAAGGAGCGTGGCGGTTGTCAGGTGTCCGCCGGTGGTGAGCCGGTCGCGTCCGTCAGCGCATTTGAGTGTGTCTGATCAGATTGATTTGCCCGTCCGCCAACTTTGTGTTGCAAGCAAACACCGCCCTCGTCGAATCGGTGTCGTAGCCGTGTGTGTGACTGCTGGTGTCAAGCCTCTTGCCCTTTCCTCAGGTTCCTGGACAAGCTGATGGACACGTCGTTCTTCGGTGACACCCACTTCGGCGGTCTGGTTGGCCAGGTGAGGCTGGACAACATGGTACCCCCCCCCCTTACCCCCCCCCTTACCCCCCCCCCCCCAGCCCATTCCGTCGGTTTGGTTGGCCAGATGAGGCCGGCCGACATACGGGTCTCCTCCACTCCCCCCCCCCCCCGCCCCCCGGCCGACGTCGGGCAGGTTACTCGGGTGTTGTATCTCCGTCGAGCGAATTTGATTAGAATGTCAAGGTGTTACTTGTTGTGCCGGGCGTGCGCGGGCATTTAATTAAGCTGTTGTGTTATACGTTGTGCCAGGTGTTTAAAATCGCTATTCATTGGTACTATAGTGGCGCTATATCCGACGCAGTCTTGTCGGAGCCAATAGGATCAGCCTGCCCAACACGTGACCATCTGATCACGTGTTGAGCCAGGCTGCTGACGCCTTAGAGAGCGCTGTAAGCGCGTGCGCTCCGCGCGGGGAGCAGTGGGGTGCGTGACGAGGCCGTCCCCTGTGCAGCGCCCTGACCTGAGCTGACCTGAGCTGACCTGACCGCCGCCAGATCCGCGAGCGGAGCCGGGCGTTCGCCGCGCAGCGCGAGGTGACGGCGCCCTGCCGGCTGGCCGACGGTGACGCCCCTGGCGGCGACGCGCCGAACCAGGAGACGGCCAGGTCAGTCCGGCGCGGTCCGGCGGTCTGGCCGTCAGTGGTTGGCTTGGTGGTCTGGCCGTCTGGCCGTCAGCGGTTGGTTGGCCTGGTGGTCTGGCCGTCTAGCCGTCGGCGGATGGTCTGGCGGCCACTGGAATCGCTAGCGCCGGGGATTCTTGCTCCGACTCGCGCCGGAATCGCGTCCTAGTGAAATAGCGCCCACCCAGAGCCGGCGAACACAGTAGGCCGTACCTCCCAAGTTAACTCTCCGTATTAGCTCGCCGCAGAAGTTTGTCCCCATCCTCGGCTCCCACCTGGAGCTGGTGACGCCAATGTCCTGTATAACGTACGGTAATAAGCAGCGGCAACCAATGTTGCTTGAACAGGCCCACAGCGTTTTCGTTCACGAGCTGTCTGGCCATACTTGTGTGGGCTTTCGGGCCAGTTGGTGCTGGCTTGGCCCGGTGACGGCTGGTGCCGCTGTGCGCGGCGCCGCTCCACCGGCCCGGGCCGCCGCCGTTGACCGTGTCAGCTGGCTGATCTGTCTGTCTCGCCCGCGCCAGCCCGCCGGAGGGAGCCGGCATGAACGAGTGCGCCCAGTTCTGCGCCAAGCTCAAGGCTCAACTGCTGCTGGCTCATGAGGAAGTGGTGAGTGCCCCTCCCCTTTCCCCTCGCGGACGGGGTCAGGGTGGAGGCGCCGACGGGTGCGGAGGCGCAGGTCGCGGCGAGGTCGTGTGAGAGGGCCCAGCAGGGTCACATCTCAGGGTTCTGGTCGGTTCATGTTTGCGTGTCCGGAAACGTCACACTTGGAGGTCTTGGGGGGTTGTATCTGAAGATCCTGGCATGCATGGAGGCCCTGACTGGGTCATGTCTGAGGGTCCTGGCGGGGTCATGCATGAGGGTGCTGACTGGGTCATGCCTGGGCCTGGGCTCAGGAATCGGGAGCGATGTGTTCACGTGTAAAGTTAAACAAGCAAACTTAGCAGATGTTTGCAATGGCAGCGTGGTTGGACGGGACGCTGCCTCGTCAGTGATGTCCCTAACGAGTGATATTATGGTCAGCTGTATTTAAACGTGTCGACTTGTGCCACACGTACCGTCAGCGGATAATCCGCCGCGTGCGTCCTCGGGCCGTGCGCCGGGGTGTCGCTTCACCCACCCGCGGCGCAGTTGGGATGTCGCTCTACCCGCCCACGGCGTCTCCGGGGTGTCGCTCTACCCACCCGTGGCGTCGTCGAGCTATCGCGCTACCTACCTGCGGTGTCGCCGGGGTGTCGTAGTACCCACCCGGGGTGTCGCTCCACCCACCCGCGGCGTGCTGACCGTGGCCCGGCCGCCGCCAGGTGCGTCGGTACGGCATCTCCCTCAGCGGCGGGGCGCTGGACGGCGCCAGCCCGGCGGCGGACGACTCCGGCATCAACGGCGACGCGCGCACCGACGGTATGGGAGCGGCCCGGCCGCCACCGCCGCCGCCGGGGCCGGGGCCGGCTGTGGTGTCTGTCGTCTATCTGTCATTGATCAGCTGTTCTGGACTGGCATTGGTGGCATTCCAGACTGCGGGCAATCGTAGACCATTGCGATCGGAGGGTTATAGAGTTTTATATTCTGATTGATTGTACGTCTTGTTCATTGATCAGGTAGCGGTCCGTAGTCGCTCTCAAATCCCGAATCTCGTAATATCGGAGACTAGATAGCACAAGTCGCTTAGACAGCCAGCGCGTTGCCGTTTTCCGTGTGGCTTGCTGCTGTGCTGTGGTATACTTTGCGTGCTGGGACGGGTCGGCGGTGCGCGTGGGTGACCCTCGCCCCGGCGCCGCAGGAGAGGGCGGCGAAGATGCCGAGCTGCTGTCGCCGGACGAGGTGAAGGTCACGCCGCCGACAGACGCCGCCGGGGACGCGGCTGGAGGCGCCGCAGAAGGTCACAGTCAAGGTCAGTCAGCGCCGACGGCGTGCGCCGAGGAGCGTGTATGGTGCCGAAGCTGAAGTGGCAGGGGTCACGGATTTCTGGCACCGAAGTCAAATGCAGTTCGGCCACGGCCATGGGAGGGATTCATCGGACTTGACCTTGATATGTCCCTTTGGTTGCAACCCTCCGCTGAAGTCACCGGTCTTGTCTCTTACTGAGGGTGGATGTTTGAATTTGACATCGAGATCGATTATCTCAACCGTAAGTGTCGCAGCCGCCTTTTGAACGCTTACTGGTCTCAGCTCTATGGTTACAGCCCTGATGGGGCCCCGTTCTGAGGTCGATGACCCGGCAGCGGTGCAAAGTCCCTGATTGAGCCCGGTGTTCAGGTCATGGACGCTGTGTTGCAGAGTTCACGACCCTGCCTTCGGTGCCGGACGCGCACAAGTTCAAGGTCAGCCTGTTCCAGCCAGTGGAACCGCCCGCCTTCATGCGGGCCGTCCGGCGCGAGATCCGCATCCTGACCAGGGCCCTGCCCGACGGCATTATCGTCAAGGGATTCGAGGAGCGAATTGTAAGTGATGATAGGCTCCTTGTGACTTATGACACTCACACCTTGGCCACGGCCCTGCCTGAGGCTTTCAGCATCAGGCAGTTCGAGGAGGCTGTGGTCGGTGGATGTTATCTGCTTGTGATCGAGATGTGCGTCCTGATTAACACCCTGCCAGAGAACACCATCATCACGCAGTTAGAATTATGCATATTGAGCGATGGGAAACTGCACGGCATCAGCTAATTTCACCTTGTCTGGGAGAATCATCTTCAAATAATTTGAAATGCACATGAGTTGTATGTTAACTCATTCAAGGCCCGCTATAGCTAGACTATGTCTGGGATGTGAATCACACATCCTGACCAGCGCTACCCTGTTATGAGCTGCACTGGGTCCTGGATCGATTTGGGCCCACAGGTTTCGATTTGTGTCCTTTTTAGGGCCCTGACCCCCTCCCAATGTGGAGTTGGGCCCCCAATGCTGGCTTGCCCCCCCCCTCAATATTTTTGACTGGAATACTGCAATCAACGTGGGTAAAAGGTGATCATAACACAACAGCTATCTTCATTTGATCTTTCTGCGTGGTGGCTTCTGGTACTACTTTCATAACAAAAAGTCATGGATGCTCTCACGGCAAGATAAAAATCGTAATAGCTGAGCGGATAAACAATGCAATAAACTTCGCATACCTAGTGTCGTAAGATACGCAATGATTTGTGAGGTTAAAGTGAAAAGCTCTGGAATATGGAAATAACCTAAGTCCTCCGTGGCTAAACCCGACCCCGTCCCCCACAACCAAAATGCCTGCCGCCTCCCATGACCGCCACAGAAGAGCGTCATCGCACCCTAAGGTGGCCTCTAAAGGGGCGCCTTCACGTGCCGATCAGAAGAGACGCGTGCGTCCAGTGTCTGCTCCCTGGATCCATCCCTGTCTGACTTCTATGCTGCGTAGATTAAAGACTTAGTTTACAAAGATGAGAAATATTTATTGCGTTTTACTAAAATAAAGCGGGATAAATCCCGTGAGAAAAACCAGGTTGGTTGTAGGTTGTCAGGTCTTCTTTTGCCCCCCCCCCCCAATAATTTGCAGAAATTGACACCCCTGGTTGGGCTGTCAATAGCGGATGACATCTGGATGTGTAGAAGCTGCTCAAACTGTTCACGAGCTGAACCACCTGTTTTTTTGTTTGTTTTTTTATTGTCTTATTTTTTCCTCATGGTGTTTTGTGTGTTATTGGTGCTCAGTGGTGGATAAAATTTTATGAGGGTGCCAAACGTTTTGATTTAAGCAAAAAGAGAAATACGGGAATCTTGGTCCAGTAAGTAGTCAATTCCACAAACTTTTGCTGTGTGGTGCACATGTCAGTCCTTGAACAAGGATGTTGCAGCAAGCTCAGTTAGGTGTAAAAACAGTTGTTATGTAGTCATGTCGTGGTGCATAGCAAATCCGTCGTGTTTGTAAAGCTGGAGTATACCTTTGTAGCCAACAGGATTTTGGAAACCGTCGTCTCTGTGCACTGTCACAGTCGGTTAGGAAACACTCGAGGCACACATTAAGGGCATCACGTTTAACATTTGTGCCCAGTCCCAACTACTTGTGCCCGGTAGTTATTTCAAATTTAATGAAATGATGTGTCTAGCGTGGCTCCGAAGGATCGCCTTATTTAGAAAGAAAGAACCGCGCGTGTAGAGTCCGTCTGGCAGATCCTTTGCGGGCATGTCTATTTCTGTGAAAAGGTTCCTGACCCCGACGTGATTTGAACACGCAACCTTCTGATCTGGAGTCAGACGCGCTACCGTTGCGCCACGGAGTCGGTGGGCCGGGGCGGGCAAATTTACCTTCCCATCGGTGCAACAGAAGTTCCGCGCCCAGCTTGGATGTTGAAATGAAAATGGTTGAAAAAAAAGGATGTTGATGCGTGAAAATTTTGCGTTTTGGTGCTCTTTTCAAAGTTGAAAACACTGCTATACGGATCTAATTTCCCCAGTCCAGATCTGTGTAAGGAGAGGCGGCGCCACGAATTTTCATGGGGCCTCCTGGACGAAATAGGACATCCTCACTCCTGGCCAGCGTCGTATTCAAGAGGCAGGGGTGCCGAAGGCATGTCCTTGTTTAATTAACTGCTACGGCTATTATATCTAAGTAAAACAGTTTCAATTAAAAATTCCGAATGGGTCCTTCTGGCGATCCAATAAAGGGTCTCGGTAGTGTAAAGGTAGCCTCGGTAGCCTCCTGTTGCAGAAAAGGGCCCCTGAATCAAAGAGGGGCGTCCTATTCTGGGACAGGATGCTTCCAATTTACGAAGGAGGCCCGAAATTTAGCCAAGCGGCCTCGTTTTTCCAAACAGGGAATCTTTATCCAGAACCGCAGCGTTCTGATGCATTAAGGGCCTCCTGTTTCTAGAAATGGGGCCTCCTGAAGATGAAGGGTGCCTTCTTATCCGGAGTGGGGCCTTCTAGCTCGTAACGGGGCCTTCTTAGCACAACAGGAGCCTCCTGATCCAGAGCATGAGCTACTTTTTTTATTAAGGCGGTCTCGTAGCGCAGAAAACGTGCCTCGTGATGCGGAACAGTGTCTTCTGAGCACGATTTATTGCTCTGTACCTCAGGTTTGGGGGCCTCATTTATCTGAGTTTTTGGTACTCTACGGTTAGCTTCTGTGCTATAAGTTTAGGAAAAGGGGCCTCTCAAAAGATGATAGCAATTGGGGTGCTACGGCCGTTCCTGTTTCCAGGTCGGGGCTCTTTGGCGCTACTCGGACATGGGGGTCCCGACGTGTCGTGTCCACGCGGTAGTGGTTCCCATGGGGCTCCACGCGCTCACGCCCCCTTCGAAGCTCGAACGAAGTGTAACAAATTTTGCTGTCTAGGCATGGACTACGGGCTGCGTAACGCACACCACGTAGGCGTCAACAAGACTAGTCGATGCGACCACCCGGGCGCATGCGACGTGGCCTACCAAATGACTACATAGCGAAACAACACCACAACACAATCGCAACACCGCCAACACTTCCCTCCCCAAAACAGCGGAGACAAAAGAACACCTACGACTAGAAGCGTTGTGCGCATGGGACCACAGCCTTATGTACTACTTAGGTACTTAAGTCTTATAGACTGGTCAGATCAAGTTGTGTGTAGCGTCAATCAAAAGTCTCAAAAACTCATCGTCGTGTGCAATGTCAAGTGTGTGGATCAAATCTTGTGAGACCATCGGTGGGTGTACAGAGCGCCGTCTCAGGTGAGATTTTACATCTTACAAACTTTGGGAAGAGGGCTTGCCCCTGTCCCTCCGCCTCTTCTGCTGGCGGAACCCGTGGCACGTGTTCCGCCAGCAGCAGGGGCGGCGGCCAGGATTTTCTTAGGGGGAGAAAGTTCGGTGAGGCACATCACGCCGCTTTGCGTGGCTCCCGCCTCGTCTCTGAACAATATATCATGCCGCATCATGCATCCGGGAAGAGCAAGTCTCTCGGTTTGGACGGCACTCGTTTGTTTACGGCATCCGCCGATTTGCGTTGCTCCGCCCGGCAGTTAGATTCATATGCATTTGGAGATGAGCTGGGTCGGGGTGGACTCGAACTGTGCTCTGGAGCCCTCGCGATTCTACGTCCTGATATTGTCCGGCTCAGGCCTTAACAACAGGTGCATGGATGACACTGCTGCTAGTGGTGGTGGCGTGTGTGTGCTAGCGTAGTGTAGTGTGGCGTACTAGTGTGGGATGTCAGGGCCATGGCTCCGTCACCTGACCGCGTGACGCCCGTACCCGTGCTGCCAGCCCTGAATATCTGCTTATCATTTGGGCCGTAGGGCTCGCGTTCAGGACCTCACCACAATCAGTTGTTCATAGTCGCGCGAGTTCGATCATGCCAGTTTCCAGTCCATGTTCGGGCTCACGCATGCCACGTTCAGACGGTTCTGTTTCCATTTCGCTTTCGCAAAGGTGGGATCAAGGTGGGATCAGATGCGTTACATATGTCGTAATTATTTCTTCGACACAAGAACGGTTCTGCACATGATACATTGTCATGATACCGGTAATTTATTTTCCGTGACTGGAATTCTCGTGATGCTTTGAGGCTCTTGTCTGTAGCTGTCCTCGCCGTTCGCTAAACCCATTTGTGTTGTCGTTACCTGTTCCCGGCGGCGCCACATTGCGCTCACATCATTTTCATGTGGTGCATCATTTGGGATAGTGCCGTAATAGCATCCTTTGCGCAGCCTATTTCTTACAGTACGGCGGTGCCATGTGACCAGCTGTGTCCTGTTGTCGGGACCCGTACCCGTTTCCCTGGTGTTTGCTGTACCGTGTTCCGTCGTAAGGACCGCCAACAGCGGCCCCGAGCACATGCGCTGACCCGGTGCCGACCTCCGCTGGCCCCGTGTTGACCTGCGCTGACCCCGTGCTGACCTCCGCTGTCCCTGTGCTGACCTTCGCTGACCCCACGCCGACCTCTGCCGACCCCATGCTGACCTCACCTCTCAGGACCTGTACTCGGTGATGATCACTGGGCCGCGCCGCACCCCATACGAGGACGGCCTGTTCTTCTTCGAGGTGCAGCTGTCGCAGGACTACCCGCGCAGTCCGCCCATTTTCCACTACATCAGGTCAGCGGTGCCTGGCGGCGGCGCGGTGTTCCTGAACCGACCTCCCGGTCTCGGAGGTGTTTTTTATGTGTGTTTTCGTCGGAGAAGTCGGAGCCCGCACGGATGGGCGTCTTGGTCTGAGAGTCCTCTGGCGGCGGCCTTTTTCATGTTGCGCTGTATTCGCAGCGTGTCGCAATGATCCGGTCGCTATGCGAAGGTGTGTACTCAGATGGCCTAGTCTCTTCGCTTGCGATCATGTGTCAGGATTGTTATCATGTGGTGCAATGACCAGCCCCGACAGGCCGTTTCTGTACGTGATAGGCAGCATCCTTTATTTGCGCTGTCTCGCTCTGACGTCATGACCCCATGGCGTGAAGCCCGGGAGCCCCGAGCGGCGGAGCCTGGCGGCGGTCATTGAAGTCGTGTCACGAGCTGATCGCGGGCCGTGTGTGGCGTTGTGCCGCTGAGCTGTGTTATGGACGTCTACTGCCTGCTGCCCCAGCTACTGCTCGGACCGGCTGAACCCGAACCTGTACGAGGACGGCAAGGTGTGCGTCTCGCTGCTGGGTACGTGGGGCGGCCGCGGATCGGAGGTCTGGTCGTCCTCCTCCAGCCTCATGCAGGTGCTCGTCTCCATACAAGGTCAGTCGCGTGGCGTGCCTCCGCCAGCACGTCACTAATGATGCTGGTGCATCGTGGGGTCCGAGCGTGCGGTTATGCTACTGTTTCTGTGCGCGTATTGCGCTGAGCGCTGTGTATGAAGGCTCTGGTTCGATTCCTGACGCTTGGGACTTTCACGGCCCCCGGTGTCCACGAAAATACAGTATCCATGGTACCCGCGTCATTGCATGCGTTGATAGTACCCATAAATTGTGACTTGTGTGTTATGATGCTATTCAGCTTTCGACGCCGTGGTGCATTCCCGCGATGCTACTCGATGCCACGGAAGTCAGCGACTGGTGTGCCGGGCTCTGCGCTGCCTTGTTCAGTCAGCGTCTAGTTCTGTGCGGCCGTGTCTGGTCAGCGTCTAGTTCAGTGCTGCCGTGTGTGGTCAGCGTTTAGTTCAGTGCTGCGGCGTCCGGTCGGCGTCTAGTTAGGTGCTGCCGTGTCCAGTCGGCGCCTAGTTCAGTGCAGCCGTGTCCGGTCGGCGTCTAGTTCGGTGCGGCCGTGTCCGGCCGGCGTCTAGTTCGATGCGGCCGTGTCCGATCGGCGCCTAGTTCTGTGCGGCCGTGTCCGGTCGGCGTCTAGGTCGGTGCGGCCGTGTCCGGTCGGCGCCTAGTTCTGTGCGGCCGTGTCCGGTCGGCGTCTAGTTCTGTGCGGCCGTGTCCGGTCGGCGCCTAGTTCTGTGCGGCCGTGTCCGGTCGGCGTCTAGGTCGGTGCGGCCGTGTCCGGTCGGCGCCTAGTTCTGTGCGGCCGTGTCCGGTCGGCGTCTAGTTCGGTGCGGCCGTGTCCGGTCGGCGCCTAGTTCTGTGCGGCCGCAGCGACCACGAGCACCCCGCATCGGCCGACAGGTCTAATCCTGGCGTCGGAGCCATACTACAACGAAGCCGGCTACGAGAAACAGCGCGGCTCGCAGCAGGGCGCCGAGAACAGCCGGCTTTACAACGAAATGGTCAGTTGGCGGACCACAGGTGGCGGCGACCGTGTGGTGTGAGGCGGCCGGCTGCGGATGGGTGGATGTGAGTTCAGTTCCGCCCAGAGAAGTTTTGTAGGCCATGGAGTGTTGGCCCTAGTGACTGTTCTGAATTGATGACAACGTAACATAACGGTTTTTCAAGGTCATGCCGACCATCCTCGGATACCCGAATGGAGAAGAGTCGTGGGTGGGTGAAGGGTGGGAGTGGGATGTGGGTGGTGTGTTTAAGGAGAGCGTGCCTAGTTCCACCAGCGCTTTAAGTCACAAGTGCCACCTTGAGGGCGTCATTGCGCTTCAGATTTTGCCTGCGAAAGAGATGGTATAAGCCGAGACCCCAGCATCGAAGTTTGCTCAGACTCTGACACACGTACAGCGGTCAGTGTGTCAGCGCGCGTGTTACCAGTCGCACCCCGTCCCTCGCCGGTGATCGTGGAGCCGGTTCGCCCGGCTGCGGGTGGTTGCAGTGTTTGTATCTTGGCATGATCCATTAAAAATCACACTATGGGTGTTGATGCACTCCGGGCCGCGTCACTTTGGATGTTGGTCCACTCACTCTACACTGCATCACACTGTCACACTTCACACGTGATTAGCAGCACCGCTCGTCCGCAGGTGATCCTGAAGCTGGTGCAGTCTCTGACAGAGATCCTGAAGAACCCGCCGTGTGTGTTCGTGGAGGAGGTCGGAGAGCACATGCGGACTCGCGCACACAGGTCAGTGCACTACCCAGGCGCAGGCCACTGCTAGCCCCGGTCACTACCCAGGCGCAGGCCACTGCTAGCCCCGGTCACTACCCAGGCGCAGGCCACTGCTAGCCCCGGTCACTACCCAGGCGCAGGCCACTGCTAGCCCCGGTCACTACCCAGGCGCAGGCCACTGCTAGCCCCGGTCACTACCCAGGCGCAGGCCACTGCTAGCCCCGGTCACTACCCAGGCGCAGGCCACTGCTAGCCCCGGTCACCACTCAGGCGCAGGCCACTGCTAGCCCCGGTCACTACCCAGGCGCAGGCCACTGCTAGCCCCGGTCACTACCCAGGCGCAGGCCACTGCTAGCCCCGGTCACTACCCAGGCGCAGGCCACTGCTAGCCCTGGTCACTACCCAGGCGCAGGCCACTGCTAGCCCCGGTCACTACCCAGGCGCAGACCACTACTAGCCCCGGTCACTACCCAGGCGCAGGCCACTGCTAGCCCCGGTCACTACCCAGGCGCAGACCACTACTAGCCCCGGTCACTACCCAGGCGCAGACCACTGCTAGCCCCGGTCACTACCCAGGCGCAGACCACTACTAGCCCCGGTCACCACTCAGGCGCAGACCACTGCTAGCCCCGGTCACCACTCAGGCGCAGGCCACTACTAGCCCCGGTCACTACCCAGGCGCAGGCCACTGCTAGCCCTGGTCACTACCCAGGCGCAGGCCACTGCTAGCCCCGGTCACTACCCAGGAGCAGGCCACTGCTAGCCCCGGTCACGACCCAGGCGCAGGCTACTGCTAGCCCCGGTCACTACCCAGGCGCAGACCACTACTAGCCCCGGTCACTACCCAGGCGCAGGCCACTGCTAGCCCCGGTCACTACCCAGGAGCAGGCCACTGCTAGCCCGGGTCACTACCCAGGAGCAGGCCACTGCTAGCCCGGGTCACTACCCAGGCGCAGGCCACTACTAGCCCCGGTCACTACCCAGGCGCAGGCCACTGCTAGCCCCAGTCACTACCCAGGCGCAGGCCACTGCTAGCCCCGGTCACTACCCAGGCGCAGACCACTGCTAGCCCCAGTCACTACCCAGGTGCAGGTCACCGCTAGCTCCGGTCACTACCCAGGCGCAGACCACTGCTAGCCCCAGTCACTACCCAGGTGCAGGTCACCGCTAGCTCCGGTCACTACTCAGGTGCAGGCCACTGCTAGCCTGGTCAGTCTCCTCTCAAATATCGGGGTCAAATGCACGGCTCAGCCATGCTTGTGTGGTTGTTTTGTTTTGTCGGGAAACACCATCAATGGGCGATGCCAATGAGAAAGCGTTTGGTGTGAGTTGATTGATCGAGGACGGACAGCCGGTCAGACATGCATGTCAGTCATAAGTGATCAGCAACCACCTACACTGCTGGCACCACTTTCGTGGTATTGTGGCTAATGTGTGACATCTGTGCGCCGTTTGAGTCAATGCCGTGTGCTTCTGAGCGTCGCCTGTCACGTGTCGGGTGGGGATGCCGGCTCCCCTGCAGGTGTCCGCCGTGGGGGTCCCGCCGTCTGGTGCCGGCTCGAGCGTCACTCCGGTCCCCTGCGCCCTCCCCATGAGGTCATCTGACCTGGCCCGACCGACCTTACGGGAGCTAACCCAATTTGGGCTGACGTTACCTGACCCGGCGTGACCTGGATCGATGTCACCTGATCTGCCTCAGGCTGATCGCGCGTCTGCGGCACTGGCTGGAGGTGTCGGAGGCGGGCGGCACACCGACGACTGGTGAGTTTGCTGTCGACCTGTCCCAGTGTGGCTCCGGGGATAAGGGCTGGGTACAACGCTCGATAAGGTGGTCTGGCACGGGTTCGTCGCTGTTCGTTACATGTGTGTTGCTGAGACTGAGCAAACCCGGCCCCGCCGCTTCCGGTGGGAGCATGCTGGCCGGCGGCTGACCTCTGACCCCCTCCCCCTCCCCCGCATGCACGCCCGGCAGCAGAAGGCAAGCCTGCCGAGTTTGACCGTCCTGACTTCCCGCTGCTGCCGGCCTCCCGCGGCTTCGGCATCACGCTGCGTAAGGCGCTCAAGACGTTCGAACAGGTGAGCTGTCGACGCCGGGTGAGGCGGACGAGACTGCGGTGCCCCGGCCCCGGCCCCCGCATTGTGTGGGCGCGGAGAAGCATAATAAGCTGCCGTGGCGTGTGTGGAGAGTCCCTGGTGCCATAGTTGTGATAGGCAAATGTCTGAGGAGCCGGCCCCGAGGATGGCAGTGTGCGGCATGGAGTCACGAAGCCGCCGTGGGATAATATAGCAGGCCGTGTGTTTCATGTAACTAGGTTGAATGACTCCTCGGATGTGGCGCCGTTCGCCGCAGCGGCAGTAATGGTGTGAACCGGATACGTGTAACACCCTGGGGTGGATGGGTGTGAAGCATTGATCGTTTGGTATTGGTGGATCCCACGGTATTGTGATGTCTTGGTGAGGATCCGCTTCACAATGGCCGACGGAGGGCGGCGCCCAAGCCCGGGTCGCCGTTTTCCCGCTCGGCCGCTGACCCTGCGTGGCGGCTCGCACTGGCCTCCGACCGCTCCCGCCTCGGTCACTGCGCTCACAGAACGGCTGGCTGACCCAGCTTTCGGGCTGGGACGCCTCCCCGTCCGCGGAGCTCGGCCGCCCTGACGACGGCGCTCGTTTCAGACGCTGCAGGAGTACGGCGTTCGGGACGGCGCCGCCCCGCAGCCGCCGCCGCCGGCCGACGCCGCCTCCAGTTAGCCTTGGTGGCGCACTAGGGCCCTTTGTAACCAATGATTCCACTGACGGATTGGTGCGGCGCCCACGGCGGCGGGCGGCGGGCGCGCGCGCCGCGTGTTCTTGTGCTGTTCGGTTTGCCCCCCCCCCCCCTCACACACGCGCTCCCTCCACACCCTGCGCGGCTGAGACACCGCGGCGGCCGGCCAGCGCCGCCGCGGTGTGGACGTGTGGAGCTGAGCGGCCGTGTGGACGCGTCACTTGATCGCGTGGATGCGCCGCCGCGTGGACGGCGGCCGCCGGCGCGCGCGGCGGAGGGCCGAGAGCGCATGGCGGAACCGGATCCTCTGCCCCTGACAGGGGCGAGCGGACCGGCCGTTGAGTGTCGACTCTCGCTCGACGCTGGGGCCCGCCGGCGGCCGCGGCAGAGTCTGGCGCTGGCGCCAAAACGCGGCGCGCGCCATGCGCTCGCGCTGGCTGCGACCGCGCCTGGTTCGCGCCCGGCTGCGGCCTGGGCTTCACTACTGAACGTGTGTGGTGCTCTTGGTTCGGCGAATCATGAAGTGAGGACGGGCGGTGCGCGCACTCGCGCGTTTTAATCGCCGCGGTGTAATCTTATTGCGAATAAACCTGTTAAGCTTGCCCGCTGTTTGTTCGCTTTGCTGGATGCGGAGGAGGGGTCTGGGAACAGACGCTAGGTTCGTCGTGCTGGGAGACACGGCTGATGGTACTTAGTGCGCCATTAACAAAATCTCGGAAGGTTTGCAAGGTAATAGCTGACGGCCAGTTTGCGCCCTCGGAGGACCGAGTAAACCTAGCAGACACACAGATCGCGGGGAGGAATAATTCATATCACGTGAAAGATTTGATTGAAACTCATCGGTTGTACCGTTAGTAACTGTAGACAGTTAAGTGTCAGTGACTTGAAGAAATGAAACTGGACCATTTTCCCATATCAAAATCCTGGCCGCTCACTGACAACACTGGTCGATGCCCGCCCTGCTCCCGGCTCGTGCCAGCCTGGTGGCCGACTCCCGCCACCTCGCCTGGCGCCTGGCGACACTGACCGAGGGGGTCGTCCCAGTCCGCCGCCCCGCCTTCCCTGGCGTTGCCGCCCGCGACCCTCCGACCGAGCGGCCGTCCCAGTTCACTGTCCTGCCTTCCCTGGCGTCGCCGCCCGCGACCGTCCGACCGAGTGGCCGTCCCAGTCCGCTGTCCTGCCTTCCCTGGCGTCGGCGCCCGCGACCCTCCGACCGAGCGGCTGTCCCAGTCCGCTGTCCCACCTTCCCTGGCGTCGCCGCCCGCGACCTTCCGACCGAGAGGGTCGTCCCAGTCCGCCGCCCCGCCTTCCCTGGCGTCGCCGCCCGCGACCCTCCGACCGAGCGGCTGTCCCAGTCCGCTGTCCCACCTTCCCTGGCGTCGCCGCCCGCGACCCTCCGACCGAATGGGCCGTCCTGCCTTCCCTGGCGTCGTCGCCCGCGACCGTCCGACCGAGCGGCCGTCGTAGTCCGCTGTCCTGCCTTCCCTGGCGTCGCCGCCCGCGACCCTCCGACCGAGTGGGCCGTCTAGCCTTCCCTGGCGTCGTCGCCCGCGACCGTCCGACCGAGCGGGCCGTCTAGCCTTCCCTGGCGTCGCCGCCCGCGACCCTCCGACCGAGTGGGCCGTCTAGCCTTCCCTGGCGTCGCCGCCCGCGACCCTCCGACCGAGCGGGCCGTCCCAGTCCGCCGTCTTGCCTTCCCTGGCGTCGCCGCCCGCGACCCTCTGCCCGAGGGAGAGGTTCTGCCTTCCCTGGCGTCGCCGCCCGCGACCCTCCGACCGAGGGGGCCGCCCCTGTCCGCCGCCCCGCCCCCTCTGGCGTCGCCGCCCGCGACCCTCCGACCGAGGAGGCCGCCCCAGTCCGCCGCCTCGCTGGCCTGCACCACGGTCACACCGGCCGGCCGCGCAGCCTGCTCCCGCGCTGGAGCCGCGGCTCGGGACGGTGGACCTCGCGCCGTGAGACCCGCGAGCTGGCAAAAACAGAAGCACCCGAGCTTATCACAATTAGTGTATGTGTATTGGGGCGTTCAGGCACATCGCTAACCGATAAGCATGGCGGGAACACGGCCATGGACATAATATCATATCAAGACAGCGCGCTGATTCGCATGCAGTGTCGTTGCCACTGCAATAATGCAATGTGCATTTCATCTGCCCGCTCGACTTGCCGGAACTGGGCCGAATACACCCGTCTGGAGAAGAGGAATGATGGACAACTGCCATCAACCGTCGCTGCAGTATTGCTCGAAGGGTAACAAAACGACCGCGCGTCCGTGAGCTTCCTGCACAGACCAGAGGGAAAAAGCAAGCGAGTCCGCTGAAACTGATGACACAAATCAACAACATATGATTTCAATCTCGTACGAACAGCTGCATCGAACAAAAATCTGGCAGTGTGTCTGCGCATTGCACCGCAGGCTCAACATCCTACGCGACTTTTGTGGGCACGGCATGCCCAGGCGGTCACATTTCGACAGGTTTACTTCCCGGCAACCAGCGTCCAACGGCAACGTCTCCACGAAAGACTGCAGCCCCAATAGAGCCAGTGACAAATCTCGGACCGCTGAAAGATACGCCGGGATATGCGGTATACGCGGGAGGAATGTTACACCAGCACCGGCTGGTGAGGAAGACCAGGCACCGGACCGCCTTCAGGCCGCTACCGAGTGGGCGTCTGCACCAGAGGTGGGGACGAATGCTCGGGTTATGGCGCTGTTTCTCCCGGCTCTATTCACGACGGTACCTGTGCTGCACGTCCCCCTCCCCTCCCCTCCTCGCCCCCTCCCCGCGAGTCATAAGTGAGTCATCGATGGCAGCCAGACGCGTCCACCGCACCACGCCGCGTGCCGCGCCCCACTGGGGTGCCACCCAGGTCGCGTGGTCAGCAGGAGCTGCAGGTCGTGGCGCGCGGCGCCGGCTCCTCCCAGTAAGAGAGATCCATCACTGGCAGCGCCAGCGAGCCGCACGGCTTTGGCGCGTTGTCGGCAGATGGCAGCAGCAGCGGCCGCGGCTGCGCCTTCTCCAGCCGGTCGGACGTGTCGCACAGAACGCGGGCCAGGTTGGCGCGACGAATCTGGCGCAGCTGGTCTAAACGGCGACGAGACAGTCGGTTAACGGCTTCACGACATTCTGATCGCATTCACTGCACAGTTAGGACCACTCTTGTGTTCACGCCCACCCTCTCCCAGAGCTGCTGTTATTCATAGCGCGGACAGATAGAGGAGGGCGATGCGACCCCTGCCGCTTCAAAACTAATGAAGATGAGCTTAGAAAAAACCTAGTGGATTGGTCTCAACGAGATCTCGCGATTGGTGGCAAGTTATACGTTGGCTGGCCAATGATCGACTCCATTATGTCAGGTCATAGGTCAAATTTTCCTGATCATTTGGCAGGTTTACAACCTCATACGCAGGAGACCGTGCATTGCAGTGACACGAAATCTATCCAGACGCATCAGTACAACAGTGATTTACAACAGTGATACAGTACAACGAATACAGATTACAACAGTGATATACGACAACTATGCATTTTGGGCAAACATCTATGGTATATGGCTTCGTTAACATAACGACGTCGGCCCCACGCGCTCGTTCCAAAACCAGTGTCCCCGGTTTATATAAAGGTATGGTGTCATCTCGGTGACCTTGACAGCTATGGTCTGCGGATGTTCAATATAATTGTTATTTAACCTCGGCAGTTCTCATCGGGGTACAGCACACCGCCCCGGCCCGCGCTGATAAGCACCCGCAACGCGAGCAGTGCCAATCGAGAACCACGAGATGATGGTGATCAGCGAGCCGGGGCGCCGAGCATGCGTCCCCCCGCGGCGGCGTCGTGGCCGCCGGCCCCTCGGGGTACACTCACCGGGCGAGAAGCGCAGCAGGGGGTCGCCGGTCTCGTACCAGAACCGGTCGCCCGTCTTCATGCGCACGAACTGGTCGGTGAGCAGACAGGCGAAGGTCGGCCCGACGGCAGCGCCCTCCAGCGGCGGCTCCAGCAGGCCGCCCACGTATAGGTCCACGTGGTCGATGGACCTGGATGGGCAGATGCGGACGCGCTCGCTCAAGATGCACAGCAATGGTGGCTTTTGATCCGATACCCTGCCGCACTGTATGGTTTTCATCACTGTACCTAAACGCATCAGGAAACATAGAAACAAATCAACGTGTGGAGTGAGCTATGTCGATGTTAGCCAGGCTTGAAATGCGATGTGATCAGCTGGGTTTCAACGCGAACATTGCAAAGCACCAACAGTCAACAGTCAGTCACACCAACAGTCAATATTGCGAAATACAGTGCAAACTTCTACTACGGTCATAGAAGTACCCCGGAGGCGCGCTAAGCGAAGTGTCCTACTAGAAGCTAACACCAGCGATATTGATTTGTAGGATAGCGTAATGTCACATCCACATTAACACAATCGGGCCATTCCTGTCGACGCGTTGACGAAGATCCAGTGCAAGATCACCTCCCCACGAAAAAAGTACGGAAGTTCCGAGCTTTGTTCAGTCCCACAGATCCAAGGCCCCATAACGGTTCGCACCCAAACTTTCCGACACGGTCAAGACCGTCCGCTTTCCTCCCGTCCCTCCTCGTCCGGAGCACGCCCCGGAGCACACCCCGGAGCACACCCCGGAGCACGCCCCAGAGCACGCCTCGGAGTACGCCCCGGAGCACGTCCTGGAGCACGCCCCGGAGCACGTCCTGTGTCCAGCCGTGAGCACCTGTACAGCTCCTCCACCCGGTCGGCCTGCGCCGGCTGCAGCGCCATCTGGCGGAGAGCGGCGAAGTCGGCGAGCGGCTGCAGGCCACAGTGGCGCCGCCACGCGTTGTAGGGCGGCAGGCCGTGGTCCCGACCCCGCTGCACGTTGATGGCGCCCAGGTCGAGCCCGGTCGGCGCGGAATCCGGCTCGAAGAGGTGCATCGTGATCTGGGCACGGGTCTGGCGTCAGCGCCGGCGGCGGCGCGTGGGGCGCCCGCGGCGGTGGACGGGGTGCGCCGGGGCGCGACAAGCCGCAGGGCGTGACGGTGCAGAGGCTGCAGTCGGCGGCCGCCAGCGGCGAGCACGTCACGGGTCAACACCGAACAAAACGAGCGGTCGGTCCCCCAAATTCGCCTCGGAAATAAACTACCAGTAGCTCTGAGTCATCTGCGTGGCGTTAACGTGCTCTCAGCGTTTCTCGACACTCGATTTGATAGAGTGCGTCGCAGCTTCTCCCGATTACAGCGTGGATACGCAAACACGCCCAGCACCAACTGTCGCACGCACAGCTTAGTATTGACGCGTCAGACACGTTCACCCCGCGCTGCGACGCTCCCCGTGTTCGCCCGCCGTGCTGATCCGCGCGCGGCGGACCGACCTGGCTGGTGAGGTGAGCGTCCGCCGCCCTGCTGCACGTGTTGAGCTGACCCCGCGTCAGCGCGTCCATCTTGCTCGTCTGGTACAGCCGCGTCGGGTTGAAGAACAGCCGGTGCAGCTGCGTGAAGTCCTCGGTTTTGTCGAACGCACCCATCATCTTGATCAGACCCTGCCCGCGACGAACGCAACCAGCGGTCAGTGGCGGGCGTGCGGCGCGCAGCCATTTGACGCGCCCCGGTTCACACCCGCACGATGTCCCGGCACACCCGGATCACATGCCGGCACAGGTCACACGTGCGGGCGGCTTCTGTCGTCACGGATGCGCCGCGGCTAGCCTGGGGGGGGGGGCTAGCTCTGATAATGCGGATCCATCTGCTGTCTTGGCGCCGATCTGCTGGACGCAGCGTGAGCATGGTACCTATGAGGTTACTCAGCTGAGTGAATGGGTTCTGATGCATTGCGGTGCCTCCCACTGGCGTATGCCGAAGTCAGTGAAATGCTTCCGCGACGGGAATCGAACCAAACATCGTTCGATCTCGCGCCCTAAATTCTAACTACCCGGCTACTGGTGTGCGGGCCTCAGAGCGTACCTGGATCTGGCTGTGACCGAACCGGAAGGCGGCGGTTGCGAACACATTGGCGATGGTGGGGTCGGTGGTGTTGGAGTAGCCGTAGAAGTAGCCCTCCTTGAGCGGGAGCAGACCGGCAGAGCGAGCCAGCTTTTCACCTGAGGCAAGGGCGGACAGGTCAGTAACGATACGATCATAATGACCCAGCTATCCTGCACATCGTCAAGCTATTTCCATATAGACCACACACACGCTGCCTCAGTGCCTGCTTCACAACAGCCATGTCTATCCCCACACCCATCCCATCTCACGACAGCCGCTATAGAGGTCTGAATCCCGCTTCTCTCATCGCGCTGCCCCCTTCCCCCTCCCCCCCTCCCCCTCTTCTTCCTGTGCCTCGACCCCGACAGCCGCCGCCGAGGCTGGCGGGGCTGGGGCGCTGCCGTCCAGCCGCCGGCGCCGCCCCGCCAGCCGTACCGAGCAGCAGCGGCAGGTACTCGGCGGCCGTGATGTGCTGCATCATGGCCGCGATGATGCGCCGGCTCTCCTGGAACGTCCGCTCGTCGTCCCAGTGCGGGTTGATGTCGGCCAGCTCGTCGGCCACCAGGTTGTGCTGACGCATCCACTGCGTGTGCGTCGCCGTCAGCGAGATCTGCTCGTTGACGCGCGCGTCACCTGGGGTCACGCGAGGTCACGGGTCACGGGAGCCACGGGGGTCACGGGGTGAGATTTGCTGGTTAACACACACGTCACATGCAGCCACACGAGGTCACGGAGTCACGGGGTGAGATTTGCTGGTTAGCACACGCGTCGCCTGCGGCCACGCGAGGCCGCGGGGTTGCGGAAGTTACGGGGTCACAGAGTCACGGGTCAGCTGGGGTTGCGACGAAGACGTCTGGCAAGGGCGGAGCGGCGCATTTCGCGCGAGCGGATGCAGAGTGCGTGCGCATATTCGGGGCAGCTGTTAAGCATCTCGACAGAATGAGACTCAACGTGCCCTTCGTAACGCATGGAATTAGATAATCATTGAGACCAGCAGCAGCTTTGTAGAGTATTATACGCTAAGCAGTCGCGTGTGAGTCATTCTGATTCGAAACAGGTCGACTTGCAACCGCTGACCGGCCAGGTCGTCGGGGTAAAGGTCATCCAACAGCTGGCCAGGTCACCTGACAGCTGTCCAGGTCACCTGGTGACCGCTTCGGACTTATCACCTATCATGATAATAATCCCATTACAAGCTAATGGACACGATCTCATAATTGGGTGGCGGTGACGGCTTCCGTCCCGTGCCGGTACCAGTGCCCATCATCTGTCAACAGCGACAGGGTGAACGTTTGCCATCACTGTATGACATATTAGGAGCCAGTTCCACAAAGGTGACAAGCCCGAAAATTCAAATGAGTAGCTCCTATTAAAGCTAACTTTTTGAAACGTCTAATGAAAAGCGCCAAGGTCGACTCGGTACGCCATCGGCAGTACAATTAAACCCTGTGGTAAAACCTGGCGTATCACTCCGCCCCCGCTCATCCATCGAGCCTCGTAAATCCCGCTTCGATACTAATCTTTAGATGCCGCTACAAGTGCCCTGGGAACATGTGACCAAATCAAACGATGCCAAGCGCGCTGTAGTCAACTGCCTTCAGCATGAACAGACTAGAGCAGTACGCAGAAAGACGAGATGTCTCGGTAGCTAATGACCCTATAAAAGAAGTTGAATGAATTCACTGAGAATGTTTATGGCAGGCTGGAAGGAAACAAATAAACAACATAATTCTTGTTGAGCCTTCGCCAGAAAAAGAAATATCTGATAAGAGTCCGGACCTGCACAACCTCCAGCTCCTGGGTAAAGCCAGGCCTTTCAGGAATGCGCAGCGCTGCTGCCGGCGGCCGACGTCGGGCTGGGCCCTAGACCCTTACCAGAGCAGGAACGGGACTGGGGTGACCGTCATCGAAGCCCTTGACCTTTACCTGAGCGGAAACAGTACTGGTTTACCGCCATCGAACCCTTAGACCCTTACCTGAGCAGAAGCAGTACTGGTTGACCGCCACCGAAGCGCTTGCCTTTACCCAACCGGAAACAGTACTGGTTGACCGCTATCGTAGCCCCTGCTCCTTGCCTGAGCGCAAACAGTACTGGTTTACCGCCATCGAGGCCCATGGGCCCTACCCGAGCGGAAACTGTACTGGTTTACCGCCATCGAAGCCCATGGGCCTTACCTGAGCGGAAACAGTACTGGTTGACCGCCATCGAGGCGTTGCGGTTGCAGCCGTCTTTCGGGTCGGCGCTGATCGGTAGCAGCTCACGGCCATCCTCAGTGGTCTGTGTTCAGCCAATCAGAGTCTCAAACAATTGATATCGGCCAATCAGAACCGGCACATGCCTTGCGCCGATCAGGATCAAATTCGGTGGGAACGAGCTTCTGCCGTGAACCTCATTCAGCTTACTTTCCATTGATCATGAGAGCGATGCAAACGGACGTGATCGAAAAGCACGATGTTCTCTTTGAATACATGGCATGCCAATGACCACCACTGACCATGTGTTGCCCATGCCATGCATGTCTTTCATGTCTTTCATGATTCGCGGTTGTCCACAGCATTGATGGCTCCCTGTCCCATGCTCCTAAGCCAACGCGCGCTGTAGACCGAGCCATCTGTACACAAGCGTGCTATCCCCGTCCAGCCGCGCAGCGCGCATCATTAGCGGCCAGCCGCACAGTGTCATGTCATCAGCGTCCAGCCGCAGTGTCATGTCATTAGAGTCCAGCCACACAGTGCCGCGTCATCAGCGTCCAGCCGCGCAGTGTCGCATCATCAGCGCCCAGTCGCACAGTGTCATGTCATCAGCGTCCAGCCGCAGTGTCATGCCATTAGCGTCCAGCCGCGCAGTGTCGCGTCATCAACGTCAAGCCGCGCAGTGTCGCATCATGTGCGCCTAACCGCGCAGTGTCGTATCATCAGGGTCCAGCCGCACAGTGTCATGTCATCAGCGTCCAGCTGCAGCGTCATGCCATCAGAGTCCAGCCACACAGTGCCGCGTCATCAGCGTCCAGCCGCGCAGTGTCGCATCATCAGCGCCCAGCCGCGCAGTGTCGTATCATCAGCATCCAGCCGCGCAGTGGCTCATCATCAGCGTCCAGTCGCACAGTGTCACGTCATCAGCGTCCAGCCGCAGTGTCATGTCATTAGCGTCCAGCCGCGCAGTGTCGCGCCATCAACGTCAAGCCGCGCAGCGTCGTATCACGAGCGCCTAACCGCGCAGTGTCTTATCATCAGGGTCCAGCCGCGCAGTGTCATGTCATCAGCGTCTAGCCGCAGTGTCATGTCAATAGCGTCCAGCCGCGCAGTGTCGCGTCATCAGCGTCCAGCCGGGCAGTGGCGCATCATCAGCGTCCAGCCGCGCAGTGTCGCAACATCAGCGTCCAGCCGCGCAGTGTCGCATCATCAGCGCCCAGTCGCGCAGTGTCATGTCATCAGCATTCAGTCGCAGTGTCATGCCATTAGCGTCCAGCCGCGCAGTGGCGCATCATCAGCGTCCAGCTGCGCAGCGTCGCGTCATCAGCGTCCAGCCGCAGTGTCATGTCATTAGCGTCCAGTCGCGCAATGTCATGTCGCCAGCGTTTGGCCGCACCTGCACCCGCAGCCTGCCGCCGGCATGCGCGCGCAGAGAGCTTGTCTGCTCGTCATCGGAGCCGTAGATGTTGGAGCCGTCCAAGAAGGCGGTGATCTGGTTCAGCTGCTGCCGGGGGCCTGGAGCATGGAGCGGGGTCACCGGGGGCGGTGGTGCACCGCTGATGGGTGGTGACGGGTGGTGATGGGTGGTCACAGATGGTGGCATGTGGTGAAAGGTGGTGGCAGGTGCACGACCGGTGCTGACAGGTGCTGACAGGTGGTGACGAAGGTAACACGTTATGACGGATGTTGACAGGTGGCGACGGGTGGCGGGCAGTTGATAACGGTTTGTGAAGATGGTGCCAGCTGAGCATAGCTGGTGATCGGCCGCATTGCGAGAAACAAAATGACCGCGCAGCAAGTTCAAGGGACTTTCCAGTGGGCAGTATGGCACAAATGTTTATGGTTATGGAAACAAATGGATTACATCCTACAGCAAAACTTACTTTCAGCTGAATCCTGCCCCGGCCTCCATCGGGCTCACAGTCGCATGGGCTCTCTGCTGTTCAGTGACAGAATATCCAGACATTCCTGAAGTCTCTCATGTTTCCGACGATGCACGCCGTCGTACATTTTCAAACAAGTGTATACGTCACGCGTGTATAAGTATATACACAGAGTGCTGTGGACTCCACTTGCACTCCAGCACTGTTACCTTCATGACTGTAAAACCCTGCTCATGAATGGCATTCTTCGCTCCATTGTACGTCACGCAATGACCACAAACGTTACACACTCCAGTGCAGCCGCACCGGCGGTAGCAGGACTACGTCAGGAGCGTAGGTTTGCAACATCAGCTGGGGTCCATGTTTCTCGCTCACTTTGATCCATTTCCTCCTGGAAGTTCGTGACTGGACCCTCAAATAAATAGAAAACCAGACCTCTGGCTGTCAGAAAGCCCGGCAACCACACTTTCGCGACTGCAAGCCAGTCGTGGCCCCGGCAGCCACATTCTCGTGGGTGGCGGTCGCCGGCGCCGCTGTTTCCCCGGGCGCAGCGGGGAAGGGAAGGGGTACAAGGGACAGGGTCGGGGGACGTACCGTACTGACAGAGCGGTGCCGGCGACGACCGCACGAAGTCCAGGCAGCTGACGTTGAAGACGGCAAACTGCGGGTCGTCGAAGCCCACCAGCAGCGACATACACTCCGGGTGCAGCAGACTCGGGTCATGGTCAATCTCCGGCCCGCAGCAGCGAATCGGCGCGCCGTTGTCCGCTGCCGGCAACAGATGGCAGCACAGGCGCGTGAAGGCGATGATAACGTATGCACGGAGCAGCGGTCAGACACCAGGAACGCATTTGCTGCTTATGTTTCAGGAGATCGGCTTTTAGGACGTGCATAGTTTGCTACGTCCAGGACACCTTATCATAAAGCATCATGAAAACTGTGACAAATGACACATCTCCGTGGGCGGAACAGCCGTGTCACAGTCCCAGAGACCATCCCCGTGGTGGCGGGAGTTTAGCGCGTCATTCCCGGGCCGCGGCACGATCGTGAGTCGCAGTTTTGACGAGACCGGGAGGACATGCAGTGCCACTCGCACAGTTGGAGCCGCTGGCTGATGTGTGGAGCCGCTGTTGTGTCCCGGTCGGCCACCAGCCCGGGAGCTCCCCCGCCAGTAGCCGATGCATTCGGCCCTGGCCACTTCCAGCACTGCCGGCACGGGGACCCCCCATCGGGACTTCTGCAGCGGCCATGGCTGGACGCCATCGGAGGCGGAAGCGCACTCAGATATCCAGCCACATGAACATGTGCCCCGAAACCGCCTCGACAACACTTTGCGTTTGGATGCCTCGGAACACTTGCTCCACATGCAATGCACCGTTCTGATGGCAGCCGGTGTTCCTGACCCCGACAATCAAGGTATCCCCATTCCCTGCCACGGATCACCACGGGCTGGGTCCGACCCTCGGCGACGCCCTGGTTCCGCCACTGGCCGGAGTCGGAACGACCCGCCCGTGCCCGGAGTTGTGCCGGTTGCATTAATAGGCATGGCGGGCGGCAAAAACACCAGACGCGGTCCGAGCGGGCTCCACTCAGCTGGCGCGTTTCAAGGCGACACAGCTGACGTGTGAGACAAACGCAGCAGTTACCTCCATAAGCAGCTGGGAGGCCGCTGAGCCCCGGACCTGTGGCCAGACGGGGCAGGGTTGCCGCTGCCCAGTGGCTCACTGGAAGTGCTCGGAGTGTGCATCGAACATCACACGCATGATCGGTCGAAAACCGATGACCTCTGCTTGGAAATGTGCACTTCGTCAGAAGACCTGACGAGGGCTTTCCGCAAAATTGTGTCTTGTGTTCATTTCTGAAAAAGTAAGCTAATGGTTTTTTGTGCAATGGTGCTGCTAGTTCCGTGATCTTATTTGATATGTTCTTACAGTTGAGATAGTAGAAAAAAATTAGTTGTTATTAAGGAATACTTTTGTGTATCGAAACGTATTGTATCGCGGATTCTTAACCATTATGATTGTTGCTCTTCTGTTAGCCTGAAATTAAAACTACACTGCTAACGCATTCGACCCCGTGCACCTGTCAGGCAAGGTCAACTTCGACCCAGTCCACAATGCGTAGCATTCTCTAGGAACTATGAGAAAACTATGAAGTATGGCATGAATAAATACGTATGGACGCGTTTTACTTTTGGATAAGTGCCGACTGACAGTAATAAACCGATACAACGTGTCAGGTGTCCTAGCATGGCTTTACGGGAACACGTCACGATAATGGCAGTGCCGTATGGTTCAAGTCGCATAAAACAGCTGGACATTGGATATTTTAATAGCTATACAAATCACAATCTACTTTCTTGACGCACCTTTTTATCACGATGATGATAATGATGAAAATAACGATCATGGCGCAGATGCAGATGATGATGGTGAATATACTGTACTGTAATGTAACGTAAAAGCAGGGACATGATAAGACTTTGTAAACTTTTCAGATAATCAACTCTTAAATGCGTCAAAACAATTTCATTATTTCATGATACTGAAAAGATCTTACGTGAGTCAGGTTACCTACCGTGCCAACATCGCTACTGTAAGAAATACGAGGATAACACAAGTTATCAGCCATGGCCAATGGCTGTCATGCTTTCTGATAAACCGGCGTTCAAAACTTTGTTCATACCCCGCCGCAACTCATGACTTCTCAGGAACTCACATTTCGTTGTCATGTTCGTGGAAATGGCCAGCTAATAAGAACGAGCTACCCAATGTAAATCTCATACTACGTATGAGAGTATACTACGTATACTCTTTTTGTATATATACTCTCATATACTATATGAGAGTATATGAGAGTATACTACGGAGCGTAGTAGTGGTTGCGGGCTGCTATCACATGCTCATCATCATTCACATCATTTCGTACATTGCGATTATCCTAGTGCACAACTGTACATGGTGAGCATAAAAAAATGCTTAACCCATGATCATAATTTCTTTTGGCATTTCCCTGGCCTGAAACACACGACGTAGTCACCATCACCTTCAGCGGCACCTTTGTGCGTATTGGATACGCCTTCCTATGGACTCAAACCGCCTTGCGCTGGGTTGGGACACTGAAGAAGCGGACAACTGCACGTCTAGTTGTCATTTATCTAGATAAAGTGTGCCGCAGTTTTCTGGCCATGGCGAGTGCTAGTGGCTTCACGTAAGTGTGGTAAGGACGCAGGACAAATTTTCAGTGCCTTGTTTTTCAAAACTTCCAATTGCTTTGGTCTATGCTAGTTTGCTTTGTGGGCTCAAGACTGGAAACTTTACTGTGTTAAGCAGTCTCATCAGGCAGCGTTCGGGCGCGGCTTTCCTTGACAAGGGCCCTGCTTTTGACAAGTCGTGGCTACGGGCACCAAACATCGCCTGTCTGTACCGCGCTCCCCATGGTGTTGCCGCGTTCTGCCAGCCTAACGCGACTGAGAACTGTGAGCTGGTGCCGCAGTGACAGCTCAGGGTCAAGACAAGCGCGGCTGAGAACTGTGAGCTCGTGCCGCAGTGACAGCTCAGGGTCAAGACGAGCGCGGCTGAGAACTGTGAGCTCGTGCCGCAGTGACAGCTCAGGGTCAAGACGAGCGCGGCTGAGAACTGTGAGCTCGTGCCGCAGTGACAGCTCAGGGTCAAGACAAGCGCGGCTGAGAACTGTGAGCTCGTACCGCAGTGACAGCTCAGGGTCAAGACAAGCACGGCTGAGAACTGTGAGCTCGTGCCGCAGTGACAGCTCAGGGTCAAGACGAGCGCGGCTGAGAACTGTGAGCTCGTGCCGCAGTGACAGCTCAGGGTCAAGACAAGCGCGGCCGAGAACTGTGAGCTCGTGCCGCAGTGACAGCTCAGGGTCAAGTTAAGCGCGGCTGAGAACTGTGAGCTGGTGCTGCAGTGACAGCTCAGGGTCAAGACGAGCGCGGCTGAGAACTGTGAGCTCGTGCCGCAGTGACAGCTCAGGGTCAAGACAAGCGCGGCTGAGAGCTGTGAGCTGGTGCCGCAGTAACAGCTCAGGGTCAAGTTAAGCGCGGCTGAGAACTGTGAGCTGGTGCTGCAGTGACAGCTCAGGGTCAAGACGAGCGCGGCTGAGAACTGTGAGCTCGTGCCGCAGTGACAGCTCAGGGTCAAAACAAGCGCGGCTGAGAACTGTGAGCTGGTGCTGCTGGTGCTGCACTGCCAGCGCAGAGGTAAGGCAGTCTCTGACGCGCGCCATTATATCCAAGATCAGTGTCTAGGCGCGGCAAACGATCATTCACAAAGGAAGATTAAATGCCTTTCACATACTACTTAGATTTGCAAGCGCCTTGCAGCATGGCAAGCGGGACGAACTGAAAAACCGAACAGACAGCCCTAAGCCTTTCGTGACAACTTGCATTCAAAAATTATCCGCAGTAATGTACCACTCATCGATCAGTGAGAACACGACCAATTTTGGTCTGGTAGCGCGGTGTGGCCGAAATCAATCAACGTCGTTTAATTAAACTTACATAAGGGAACCAGGTACAAGCATTAAACCTTACATAAGGGAACCAGGTGCACGTCTTTTAAATGCGATTGTTGCCAACGGTTTAAATCCCTCCTCAAACGGTGAAGAGTGTTGCTTAGAATCTCTAATGATAAAGCACATGGAACATGACATCTAAAAGTGAAAGGATATGGCAGCAAACCCCAAGAAATCAAACAAGTTAGAATTACACGGGGCAATGGCTTCATGCAAAAACCCGCAACAGCCCCCTTCAAATCACAATTGCGATACACATCTAGGAACCGCGGAAGTGACAGCCTTGGCAGGTCACATTCGAAATTATAACTTTTATATGGTGTGATTAGTACTGTTCATGCGTTCTAGCCGCTTCCAAACACCTCGTGCCCTGGCCGAGGCTCTGGGGCGCTGTCAGGGCACATCCGGCAGAGGCTGTGGCTCTGGACGCGTACCAGAACGAGAAGCTCCCACCTTCCCGGTGGCTGTGGCTCTGGACCCTTGATCAAGTCGGGCAAACTGACGGGTGGGCCTAACGCTGGAGTGGTGGACTCGGCGTACCTTAGGGCCAACACCAGGGCGGCGGACTCAGCGTACCTTAGGCCTAACACCAGGGCGGTGGGCTCGGCGTACCTTAGGTCTAAGGACGAGTGGCGGACTCGGCGTACCTCAGGCCTAACACCAGGGCGGTGGGCTTGGCATACCTTTGGTCTAAGGACGGGCGGCGGATTCGGCATACCTTTGATCTAAGGACGGGCGGTGGACTCGGCGTACCTTAGGCCTAACACGAGGGCGGCGGACTCCGCGTACCTTAGGCCTAACACCAGGGCGGTGGACTCGGCGTACCTTAGGTCTAAGGCCGGGCGGCGGACTCGGCGTACCTCAGGCCTAACACCAGGGCGGTGGACTTTGCATACCTTTGGTCTAAGCACGGGCGGCGGACTTGGCGTACCTTGGGCCTCACGCTGGAGTGGTGGACTCGGCGTACCTTTGCCGGCGGCCGTGGCCGTGACGTCATGGTCGATGAATTGGCCCCACTGCATCATGAGGAGGCTGAGCCGCGCGTCGCCGTGGTACTCGTCCGTGAACACGTAGCGGCACACCTGACGCGGCGCCGGCAGGTACCCGCCGTCCGCGGCCGCGCGCGGGAAGAACACCCCTGCAGCAGGCGACGGCGCGGGTCAGACACCCCTGCAACGGGCGACGGCGCGGGACAACGGGCGGTGGCGCAGGTCGGACACCCCTGCAACAGGTCGCGAGACGCTATCCAGACATCTCTGGACCGGGCGGCGGCCAGGCGGTGGCGGCAGCACAGGCGGTGGCGCAGGTCGGACACCCCTGCAACAGGTCGTGAGACGCTGCTCAGACACCTCTGGACCGGGCGGCGGCCAGGTGGTGGCGGCAGCACGGGCCGGGCGCCAATCTCCCGTAACGCCGCCTCACTGAGCCGCAGGCCGAGATAGCGTCTGCGCCTCGCAACCGCAGTCAACGAGAGCTGCCCCTAGAAAGGGGGCCTCCCAATAGCGTGACCCGTCCCGATGGTAACGAGAGTCGTCCTTAGAAACGAGAGCAGTCACCCTAGAAACGAGAACCGTCCCTCAAATAACGTAGCCGTCCCCTAGGAACGAGAGCCGTTCCCCAACAACGAGTCATTCCTGAGTAACGAGAGCCGTCCCGAGAGCCGTCCCCTAGTAACGAGAGCCGTTCCCCAATAACGAGTCATTCCCGAGTAACGAGCCACGTATCCCTAATAACGAGAACCGTCCCCCAGTGATGAGAGCCGTCTCCTAGTAACAGGAGTTGTACCCTAGGAACGAGGTCGTCACATAGTAACGAGAGCCGTCCCCTAGTAACGAGAGTCAACCACCTGGTAACGAGAACCATCCCCACCCCCTAATGGCGTGTCCTTTGCCCTACACAGAAACATCACACGGTTCGGTGGCCAGCGAGATAGCCTGTCCCGAGCGATATTGCCTTAAGCTCCCGACTGCCAGCATAGCTCAGCCTGGGATGCATGTCACGGCAGCGCACCTTTCACCACATAGACGGTGGTCCCAGCGTACAGAGTCCCAGAGGAGGAAAAACAACGAGGGAGGAGGGCACGACGAGCACGTGCGGACGGGGGACCGCCGGTAACTTGCGGAACTTGGGGTCTTACGCTTAGTCGTGAATCCACGCGCATGACACACATTGAATTGCCTTCTTTGTGATCGAGGTGAGGCTCAATTATATTAATATTGTGGCTTCGCTGTCCTTTACTGGTAATTGCTACCTAACGCATGGAAACTATGCGTATGGTTTTCGGTACGGAACGGGTGTATTTCGATACGGAAGCACGGCCTTAACCTACCACGTCAGTCCAGGTCAGGAATAACTATAGCCAGCATAAGTGGTTTAGTTACGTTGAATTAATGTCGCCGTATACTTAACAGATGAAAGCCTCTCTAAAGAATAAAAAGTCACGGATGTGGCGGTAGCAAAATAAGAAAATATCCAGTGCGCCCTGTAAGCGAAGAAAAACATTCCTCTCGTCCTCAAAAAGCAACTTGAACACATACCCCATCACCATATGAAGGTTCAAGTCTAATATGGCTTCCAATGTATCATTAAGAAAAGAACCTTTATTATTTTAGCCAAATACAGCTCGGTCCCATGCTTCATCGTATACAGGTACCTGCAGGGCTATGCATTAGCGGAAAACCACGAATCGCTCCTGCACAGACTTCCTCCTTTAGATGATTACCGACCACACACGACCAGCCACAAAAGCGTAACGAGGTCACGTGCTGTCTGAACTTAATCCCCTCCAGCTACCGCAACAGTCATTTCCTTGCATTCCCTTGCGGGACCAGGCCGGGAGATAATAATGGCAATAAAATAGGCTTACCAAATGGTCAGCTATGCCGCAATTGAATGCTTCGGCAGCTCTGCACATCACATAGCCGGTGAAGGATGGGTGGCTAGCGGCAGCCCAAGCAGCCCAAGCACCCTCAGCTCTCCAATGATTAGCTGGCGGCACGGCTTCCCGGCTACATGAGTTAAGCTCACGACATCCGACGCTCGACCAGGGTCGGGCGTCTGCGAACGCCATGGGGTCCACTTCGACGTGCTCCATCTACTCAGCCGTGCTCGGCGGTTTACAGACGGTATCAGGAGCGGGGTCAGGCACTGGGCGGACGTAAATGCACAGTGCTCTAGCACGGTTACGGGAGTGTAAAAATCCATAACTCCCGAACAAAGCAGCCTAGAGCAATGAAGTACGTAACAGATGGATTACTGCGTTGTGCCGCATTTTGAGAGCACAAAATGTAGATAAAGACCGTGTTTAATGCATTCAAAACAGCTTAATTGAGACTAGATACCATAGAGGTAAGAGTGAAACGATGAACCTCTTTTTGTTTTACATTCATAAGCTAACGTGCTCGAATGAAATTACATATCTTATAGCAATGGCGTTTCCAATGTCATGCTAGGTAACTGTCAATCTGTATGTTCCTTAGTTTTTGGAATGTTTTTAGACGCAGATTACAACAATGATGTCATACATGTGTGCCGATTCGTGAGTAATTATTTGCAGCATTATGTATATATATATATATATATATATATATATATATATATACAATCCTGCAAACCATGTTGGCGTTCTCAAACGACTTCTAGATGTGGACCCCAAGTCCCCAAATGTCGAGACGGCATCGTCATCATTGTGCATTAACGAGGGTGTGCACTGCTATCTATAGCCAAAAGGGCTGATTTCCGATTTTCAGTTTAATGCATAATGACACGTTTATCTACTTTGAGCGAAAGTTACTTGGAATAGCTTCATCTTATCTCGCATACCCTCAGGTGAGCCTAGGGTCATTTTTCGGTTTGCCAGCCAAACTTGTGGATGTGAGCTGAGTATAGGCAAACGACGAAGGCGCCTCACAGCCTTTTTGACGCCAAACCCTACCGCGCGGACCGTCTGTCATATCCACAGGAATCTAAAGAACACTGCAGATGAGGACTCGGCGAGGATCAGGCCCGTAAAGACTGTCATTCAAACCAGCGAGGGTTTGGTTTTGCCCCTGGCCCTGGTGTGAGACCACCAGTTTATCACCTCGTGACCCGGGAAAAGAAACCCAACCGGGCAATCTGGGGATAGCACGAGCAGCCCCGTCGGTGCGGGAGAAAGTCAACCGCGCTAACACTCCGGTGGGGAACCGCGCCCCATTCACCGGTAGTGCAGCGACGGGCGGAGCATATCCAATGGCCATTGGTAAACATATTTTGTACACCATGATGCTGAACTTAAGCGTTCCATTTTTTAGAAATTGTACAGGCTTTTGTACATGGACGAGATTTAAGTGACCAGAGGAATATTAGTTACCGCGTATTATACCTTTGTTAGTGCACAAAATCCTATATTTTATTCTAACTCCACGCAGAATCCGGAGGTGAACGGGAAAAAGTTTTGTTTAAAATCACCTTAGTCTCAGTTTCAGCCGTACAGGTAAAGTTACAGAGGTATAAATCGCAAATTTTGTTAGTCAAATATGTGTGCGTGACAAACGTGGTCAATGCACCGACTGACATGCTGTTGATAGAAATCAGACGTCCCCTCCCCCTGCAAAAAAAAACAAGGATCTTGCAGCCACGTGCCCAAAGTAAACTGTCAGTTTTTTCATGTTTGGCCGATAGAAATCCGCCGAAAGGCATCGTGACATGCGCATCGTCCATGCCAGCACACATAAAAGGTAGCGTTCACGTGGCCATGTCATGCCACACGGGTCACATCATCGCTGAGTCCAATACGCTCGCCTCGGCATGTTCAAACAGACAGGAATCCAACCAACCCGCAGCCAGCGTTTGACCGAGGCTGGCACACACGAATCTGATCAGCGCATTCCCCACTACCGGATACGCAAACCTGCACACTTTGGCAAACAAGAGGCTGGACACAGCCAGCAGCCCGGCTAGCTCTCTGACTGGACAGCACGGACCCCTGCAACGAAGAAGCGAGGTCAACACAGCAGTAAACGTGCCCATCTGTTATCACTCTGTGCACCTTGCCTCGCAACGTCTGCACGCGCTGGGCGGCCGTCCCTTCCGGCAAAAAGGCTGCAGTAGTCTGGCATCTTACGTAAGCGTTACATAACAGGCCGCTCTGGCGAGGCACGGCTGGGGGCCATCCGTGGCACCGTCCACTGCAGGACCGGTCCTTGTGCGTCCACTCCTGCCTCCCCAGCGGCAGCCCACCACCCGCGCAGCGCCAGGGAGGAGGGCGGACCGCCGACCGCGTGCTCTTGAATGGTGCCAATGGTAGGTCCTAACACATATTCGCTTCGGAATGCTGCTGAGGACTTCCTGTTTGGGGTACATTGTTTGATACCAATTTGAGGACGATTTTCATATCTCGTTTTACATGTCATTTTTCACCATGCACGGCGATCACTGCGCGATGCACAACTTGTTTTTTCCATCATTGAAGATTGTCTAGGGTTTGATGGCTTGCGCTCCAAATAGTTGTGTAGGCTGCTTATTTCGTGAGCATTTTGGTTTGCGAACGTCGTGCAATTTGGTCTTGGTACTCATTATACTTGTGGCTGACTGAGTTATACGTTTTTTTCAGGCGTCCTGCTCGAAATTCTGAATGCCCACGACATGTGCTGCATTAGAAGGTTCATGCATTGCGTTACATAACGTGTGATTCCCTGCATACCAGAGAGGACGTGTGCACCACTAGAATTACACGCCCTTATCACAGAAGACTTGTTTCGGTCCCTAGTCCCCACGGCTCTTAACGTACGCAGCATACGAGAGTATGAACCAGTCTAACCATTCAGGTTTTCATTCGACTTAACCGCGCTGCCCGAAAAAAATTGATAGTCCTATCTCGGATCTAAGAAAGCGTGTTCCTTCCATCACTGTCGGATGATATGGACAGCCATGAGCGGCCAAAATCTGTCCGTATGGCCTCTTGGGCGTATTCCGAATGTTAATCCCCACGGAGCCTGCAAACCCAAGTCGTCGGTCAAATACCCCCCAGCTTCCCTCCTACGTCACAGACCGTCTGTGTCTCGCCACTGTTCATGGCGGCTCAGGGATGAGGGCGAGTCTGGGGCTGCTGCGACATCTGACCTTTGACTGTGCCGTCCTGACACGTGACCAAGCGCG